TTTCGTACACTAGCACGTATGCAGGCACAGTGTTTTTGCCTACAAAGTACGGTAACACTTAGCACGTATGCCTTTTATTCAAAAATAAGAGACTCGCCTAAGTTTAATCATTTTTGAATAAAACTGCATACGTACTAAGTGTTACGTATTTGTGTTTTTTGCACGAATAATTATGAATACAACTGAACCGTAAATAATAAGGCCAAATTTGAAATCCAAAAGATCTGTAACTAAATTAACGTGATGAAAAACTGCTCCGGCTGATGCCTCTAACCTGAATATTTTATATTATCAATCAAGTTTCATCTGCCATCAAAGATTTCCAAAAATGTGAAATCTAGCGTAACGGTGAATGGAAGCCATAAGTCGTAGCCAAAAGTACAATACTAATTGTTCCAGAATACAACGATTGGAAATCATCAACGGGATTGACAGGAAGAAGAGGAAATTTGTTTTTCCCAGCAGGACATAAAGATGGGGGATGGGTAAGGGAAGCGCGAGCAGAAGAGGCTCGTGGGAGTCGAAAGTGCTGGTTAAAAGAAAGCCAGATTCACTGAGACTAGAGAGCTAACAGTGAATGCTGACGTGTCACTTCAGAGTTATTCCCTCTGATTTTTACTTCTATCTGCTTTTTGCCGGCTCTAATTCAGACAATTCACCGGAACTTCCGGGGAACAAGCAAAGTTTGCAGCGGTCCCGCAGGATTTTATTTACTACCACAAAAGTGGAAACCTTGAAAATGGCAACCGCAGGATTTTCCCGCCATGGTTGAAAGCGGGAACTTTCGCAGGAATTTTATAAAGGGCTGAGGAACTTCCGAAAAATGCCAGCGGTTCCGCAGCACTTTAAAATGCCAGCACTTCCGCAGGGTTTAAATGTGTTGTCCCATATGACGTTGCCTCGCCAACGACTATAGTGTTATCGAACAGGTCAGCCGTACTGCAAAGAAGTAGGTGAGTCTCACAGTCAATACAGTAAGGTTCAAATCTCGCTTGAGTGTTCTTTTTTACTTTGTGATTCGAGTTATTCGAAACTTCCTCAGCACCTCATTTGTGAAATTTAGCTATACTTATGCGAAACTTCTGCAGGTGACCCGGAGGAACTTTCTCAAACGTTCTGCGGTTTGAGAAAAAGGTTGTGTTGTAATTTACTTAGACTAAAAGTTCTTCCAAATCCATCTAAACCATTAGACAAAACTTCTATCGAATTCAAAAGCAGTTAAAGATAAAGGGTTAGGTATCTTTAATACTCTCTGTGGGTATGAGTCAAATGCATTCTGCTTCGCAGTTGAGGGGCTATTAGATGTAAGCAAACCTTTGCAGTGACTTGAGAGGGACAGTTAATCAACAAGTCAGTGCTTTGATCCTTCCAAGTTAGCCTATAACCAATTATCGTAACGAACGCTAAAAGGCTTAATTAGCTTAGAATAGGAAACAACACATTAACTTTTTTTGAATGGCAAAGCATTGTTTTCCCGCTCCTATGCAATTAGTTCCCTTTGAATGTTTTTCAGAATCAATATTTTTCGAGAACTATCCCTTTTAGAAAACTGAAAAATGTTGGTTGTACTTCTTAAATTTTCTAGTATACCCTTGTTTATGTGGAAACAACTTCGCTTCCGTAAAAGCGCAAAAATTTTCTTTTTTTTTCAAACTTCTACCCGATGAATGAATACAGCAATTTACGACATTTCAGATCTTTGCTTCAAACTTCATGTGGAACGATGAAGCTGCGAAATTCACAAACCTTATTGTAGAGCTTGTTTTCTGCCAAATGGATGAGTAGAATATGGCTTGGAGTGGCAAAAATCAAGTAAATACTATGTTACGGCTTGATAATTGATTCATAAATTGAAGAAAATCCGGATGTTACTAGTTTCTACTTGTTTGAGTTCTATTTGGCAGAAAGAGGCAAGCACTAAAAGGGTCATATACATATATTTCCAGTCTATAGTGGAACTCGACATAACTCTGAGTTTGGCCAGAGGAAGAGAAATAGTGCACAAAAGAAGAGTGGCAGATAAAAGACCTCCGGAGTACATTTTGCTCGTAGTTTCACCAAGCATGATGGGGGTATTGTGGTGGGCCGTCCCGAATCACCCCAATGTACCGAATTTCTGCCAATTTCTCCGCTTCAACCCAATCTATCGTAAACCTACAGTAACCTTGCCGATGTCATTGCAGATAAAATGAACATTATATTCGTGATAAAATTATAATTATTTACAAAATTTTGAAATTTTGCAAAATATTGGTCCAGGGCTATTCGGTGCGCTGATCACAATATGACAATCATTTTTTACCGTAGGATTACTCAGCCGGGTTACGGTGGGTTTACGGTAGAAAGAGAAAATCACAAAATTGGCCAGAACTTAGACCGGATTTCGAGCGCTGATTACGAATATGGGGTTCATTTTATCTGCAGTGACATCGGCAAGGTTACGGTAGGTTTACGATAGATTGAATTAAAGCGGCGAAATTGGCCGAAACTTGGTACATGGGGTTATTCTGGCGCAGATCACGGACGGTCTATCTGCTACGTACAATGATGTCATTTGCAGCAACTACGGTAGGTGTACGGTAAGTGGGATGGGACAAACATGGCTAAAATAACAAAACCCTTCATGCGACAGCGCCATCTAGCGGGGATACGGTAGGCATACGGTTGGTGGTCTCATAGAATGAGGGCAAACTTTGTGGAGGGTATATTCTGTGCACAAATCCTAGTAGTCATTGTTATCATTGTGCATGTCATCTCTCCCTTTGATAGAAGCTTTCAGCTGCGCAAAAGACCAATTTGTGCGATAAACCACCATTTCTCGACAGAAAAATGTTGTTTTGACAGGCTTTGTGTTGATGAAAACATAATGGCAAAGCAGCTTTTGGAATTCAGAAATGTGTCATGGCCCAGCAGTTTGATAAGACGCCAAAACTTGAATATCACTTTTGCAATGACCTAAAAACACCTCATCAAACAACATATTTAAACTCCGCCTTTGAGGCAGTGCACACCCAAAATTCCGCCTCCCATGTTTTTGTCATCCTTGGGCTTTTCCGTGACCCTGATCACAGTTATGGAATTTAAATTTTCGAAGACCCTTTCTTCAAAGGGTGGACAAATTTCGAATTGCTTGACTCCTTCGGCATGCCAGCGAGGAGCAGCTGCAACTGCATGACAGCCTGCAGTTGCAACTACAACTACAGCTTACGCTGTTGTGGATTCGTTCGAAGGAGGCGGCCCGCAAAAAAAGGAGGGGGGGGGCGGCAAAAGAATGAGGCGAGTTTCCTCCTCTTAAAAGCAACATTGGGAGAGAGAACCAATGCAGTAGGGCGTATTCTGGATCCTACATATGTACCGTATAGAAAGCTGGGTAGCATAGATTCTGGGTGTACGCTGCCTTTAAGAGTCGGACATTGGGACTTTTAGAAGGCTACTCAGGGTTTCAATAAGCAGAACTCTGAGTTTTAAAAATGGGAATCAGAGTTATCTCTATGTTGCAAAAATGGAACTCAGAGTTATTTCTGAGTAAACGCGGAGACTTCAAGTTTAGACTCGGATCGGCGACCAAATTACTACCCAGACCCAATTTTTTAAGATGTTCTTATGAAATACGTGCTTTGGCCTAAAAATCTTTCCCGTAGGTTTCGTGAGGACTGTCTTGTACTAATTAAATAAACTCTTGGTAAAACCGGCTGAATATATAAATGACACGTCAACCTTTTACTGCTCCATGTGTGCTTTGACCAAATCTAGTATAAGGAAAGAAGCAAAATCCTCCTCTTCTGAAAGAATGGGTTTAGATGACGGGAAAGTACTGATAATCGACTTGCGTACATGTGTCCAAGAATTTGTACATTCCATCACATTCATCAGTTTGCGCACTTGTGTTTCTTTCTGAAAGTCATGGTTGGACCTTGCAAAAATCCTCGAATTTTGACTCAAAAATTTTCATTTTGATGCCACCTTCCTGCACAGCCTGCGATAACAAAGTTCCTGTTTTTTATACTGGTTTTCTCAATTTATTCTTTCCAGTGAAACCGCACATTCATATAGAAGTTGATCTGGAGCATTTTCAAGATCGCCCGAAAATGCGAAATCACTTAACCAATCGTGTCATAAACTCCACTGCCGTTCTATGTCAACTGTCCAGTTCGGCTTATTTCACGTTTTTTTCACGATTTTGCAGTGAAACTTTAATGAACATGCGAGACAATTGACTCTAAACATGTTCGACTATATAGAAGCCAAGGGTACTAACCTAAATGAGCGTGATAGTATTAGGGAGAGCAAAAATAGTTAAAGCGTCAACAAAGCTTCGGTTTTATTTCGATGATCAGCATTTGCTATCCAAGCAATCATGCGATTGTAGTAAATTACAATTTGACGTAAGTGCCAGGATTGGCGCCGCTCGGGTCCTCGCGTGCCGCCTCGCTTAGGCCACCCGAAGCTTTCGCAAACTTGTCTCGAAGAATTTTCCCAAGCTTATCAGCCATTGAGCCAAGACGAACAGTACTTTTCAAGTAGATACCTTATCCGCTGAGGGCAGTGGCGTAACCGAGGGGGGGGGTGCCCCCCCCCCCGAGAACGGGTCGCGAAATTTTTGAAAGTTACTTACATGGGTTATAAAATTGTGCAAATGACTTGTCTACACTTGTAAATAATTAAAATAATTTTTAAAGTTTTTTAAAAATTCAATTTAGCCTTATGAAAAATATTTTTTTTCGGAAGCGCTACTTTATTAGCTAATCACTGCCGTAACCATCCATTGAGGCCTTGGTTAGAATTCACAGGTTTTCACGTTGATTATTTGGAAAATGGAATTTCCTTACGATTAATTTCAAATCCCTCATATATGGTATTGCAAGCCCTTTCTTCTTGGTGCTGCCATTTTCAGTATAACTGTCAAATCAGCAAGGGTTTTTATATAGACAGCTTAGCAGTCCGAAGACAGTCCGAAGCCTCAAGCGGATTATGGTCCTCGCATCACAAAAACATGAAATAATTGCACGCACTCCATAGTTTTCTGAAGCAGATGATGGCGTTGCTAACTTTTCTTGTGAGTATTTCAAGATTTGCATATTTTCATGCTCATGCCGAACGTGCATACGTTGTAGAATAAAAATGCTATTGTCAGCTAATTTCAGCTAGAAAAATCTCGAAACTATGTTCGCGTACATTTAAGATATCGTTTTTTTTGGTGAAATCTTGTGAATTGAATTAGTCCGAATGTACTTTAAAAAGTGTAAGTGGTGTTCCTTAATATGTGAGAGATATGATGGTAGGTGCGTCAAGCAGCAAACTGCCAAATGAGTAGAGACTTCGCAGCGTTTGAACGAAATCGTGGCTTTTTAGCCCGTAAGACTTTTTTTGTCCATAAATGCACAGTTTTCAGTCCTCGAGATCTATAAGTTTCCTCTCCAAAATTTTGGAAAAAGAAAAGTTTACCTGTCGAACTGAGTCGGCTTTAAATCTAAATCAACTGTTGTATTTTTTACGGGCAATCATGCTGCAGTCTTTTGCAAGGTTAGAAGCTCATAAAATGACTTCAGCGCTTTACAAGACCATCATTCTTTGTAAATGCAAACATTTGATTGTTTACCAATGTATATTTCCAGATTCAGTGGCTTGCTCTGATTATCTGTGCTTCCCCTATTTTCTCCGATGACGAAGGTATGAATGCATAACACAATTCAATAAATAACAAGATCTTTCTATAGCGACCAAACTTTGTTCTCTGAGATGGTGCAAAAAACTCTATTCGACAGCTTTGACATGAAATGGTAATTTAGCGGTGCATGACTGAGTCAACACAAACATTGAGGAGGAATTAGAATGAATCGACTGTCTTTAACGACTAATGTTTCGTAGAATTTCTTTCTCAAAGCCCGTACTGAATCAAAACTTGAGCATACCTCGAGTGATTAGTGATCGCTCGATTGGATCAGATCTAGCCTCCAACAGCTTGAGCTGTGCTCAACATGATCAAGCGAAAACTGACGCACCCGCAGAACTTACCTGCTAACGGAGTTCCGACTTTGTGCATGGATGGACTTGTGTATTACTCTTTTTTTCATGAATCGTGGATTTATGAGATTTGTGGGCGTATAGCTGGGCATTCTGCTAGCCTTGATGGGAACTTCGTAAAGCACACTCAATCAAACCAAAATGAGACAGATTATAGCGTCTAGCAGATGCTGATTTTTGGGATGTATGGTAGCGGAGCTTTAGGTGAGTGAGATGTATATGCCTTACGCTTAACGTGCGTATCTTTTTTTGATTAAAAGACTCTGCAGCAAGGTTGCTCAGTCTTTGTTTTATTCCCAAACGATAATAGCTTTAGTTTGCCCAGAGCCCTAGCGTACAAAGCTTATCAACTGCAAAGTCGCGCGGCCTTGCATCCCCGTTCTCGCGCGGCAGCAGACTCCTCTTTCGCGAACCTGCTCATCACTTCCCACCACGAACATGCGAAAAGCGGAGCTTCATTCACTAAAACTAAGCGTGCGAAAATATTAGAATGCACTCGCGAAAAAGCGCAGAGTCCAGGCGAGGCGGCCACGCGGAAGCAGATGTTAGCGCACCTGATAATTTCTATATCACTGTCTTTTCTCAAGCAATCTTCATTGAATAGATATCTTCTACTGCACATCTTCCGAGACGCGAAGATTCTTGATCAAAATAGCCCCGGCACCTGTTGTGACCTTCACTCGGTTCTCTTCGGGACCACTGCTCACGCATTGTGCATGCTATCCAAAGCCAAAATTGCAGGCGTCAGGGGTCATTGTGCCGGGGTTCCCCAACTTTCCGTTAGTATGCGATCTTTAGATTTTAGGCGAACTTCATGAGGACGTGTTTTTGTAGGCTAATAAATTAGGGATTTTCATGGATTGGAGTCTGGGACATGCACAGTTCGACGCACAGTTCCCAGTAAATTTGAACTACAGAAGCAAGCGGGCAAGTTTTTTGAGAGATACGTGAAGTGCGGCAAAGTTACGAACTTTTGTGACTCCGTTGCAGTCACCTCGCCATATCTCTGCGAAAAGACCATATACTTGACAGAGACCACGATTTTCATAAACAGCGTGTTCGAAAACCTCTATGAGTGGAGTTTCCTTCCAAACCAAGATCATCAAGATTTTGACTAAAACCTACTGGCGTGCTTCAGAGCGTGAAACGAGAAAAAAAAAACAAATAATCTGAAGTTTTCTGAAAACTTGCCTATAGAGGTTATCAGACCTGCTGATTACGAAAATCAATCTGCTTAGCAAGAGAGCTTCATATTCTACAGTTACCGTGAGAAAAATCTAGAAGGACATGATTTTTTTTAGAATTCACCAGCCCTATTTCCTTTGAAAAGAATTGTGCGGTTAATTTTAATGCCCCATAATCTACAGAAGAACTATCAAAAGATTCTTTCTGGAAGCTGAGCACAATGCTTTTTTCGGATTTAAAAATTAATCACTCCAGTGAACGTCACGGTGAGAAAATTTTGAAAACGCGTGCTTTTTCCGAAATTGACCAACGCTTCTGTCTACTTTGGAAAGAAGTCTGCGGCTACTTTCTAACGCACTATATTCTACAACAACAGCACTATGGAATGGTACGGAATCTTTTATGTTGGATAGGCGCTGCGTTACATCCTTGCGAAAGGACCTCCCAAAAGAATTTGAGAAAACTGGAAACGAGATATAGAGGACATGATGCAGGTCAAAAGATTTGCCTTCACGAGCTGAACAAAGTGCTGCTTTCGGATTTAGAATATATTCGTTATCAAGAAAGTTATGGCGCTGCGTAATTCGTGATATTCCGGGAATTTTGAGGAATTCCCGGAACTTTGCGAAATTCCCGTTCTATGGGTGGTATTGTACATTGTACAACACGCGCGGCATCTCACTATGTGTTTCGTATGTGATTTACAGCCATTCCTCTTTGTCTTCCTGCATTTTGGGACCGTCATGTTTCGCCGAGAAAAATTTCACACATAATCGCGCAGAATGAGCTCTCAAACTATACCAACCGCGTATCTGCAGTGCTCAACAGAATGTGACCCCTAGAATCAGCACGATGAATAATCCATTTACACTAAAATTCCAAGAAAAAACCTATATCCCACGACTAAGCACATCTATAACTGGAAGATGCGCCTCGCCGAGCTGAGTTGAATGGTACTCTTAGATATACAATTCATAAACTTCGAATCAGGATAAGGTTTTTCGACGATTTCTAAAATAGTTAGGAGTCCGCCGCCTAACTTTGTCGCGCAACGCGGTGCTTGCCGCCTAACTGCGGCGGCCGCCGCCTAACTTCGTGGCCGCCGCCAATTTTTTTCACAAATTACGAGCGGATTGTATTTTCAATCTATCTGTTGATGTATTTAGTATGTGGCCCGGAGTTTGCCCCGCTGAGTGATTACGAACGGGCAGTGATAGTCTACGTTCACAACAGGCTGAGAGCCAATATTGCTCAGGGGCTAGCCGACAACTACATAGGAAAACTACCTTCGGCGAAGAATATGTACAAGCTGGTAGGCTGTTCTTCAAATCGATTACGGCAACGTTGCAAACTAGACTATAAACGACATTAAATTGCAGAAGATTTGTTTTACACTGTTAGAAGATAAATTTTTTGCAAATTTTGTTTTTGAAACAGAGAATTCGTTACTCTAAAATGAAAAATTTTGAAAATGGCTAACGATATTTGCGTCTTTCGTAAACATGCTTGATGCTTGAAATTCTCTTCCAAAAAGCGAGACCAAAATGAAAGCAAATAACTCTCCTAACCTTTCTCATACACTGAACAAAAGCGTGTACTTCCAGCTGCTTCCAAAGTCGCAAAAATTATCATGATCTAATCCAGCAGTGCCAAGCACGTTTCTAAAAGAAGTTTACAAATTGAACAGAGTTATTCGAAAATCGCTGACATCAAATTTGTGGTCTGTCATCAAGAATTATGCTCTGCTGTTCCATGTTTTAACAATAGAGCACTGGTCACTTCTTATCACATCTATGCGATACTTCGATTAACTTTGAGGTAAAATAAAGCAGCTGGGAATTTCCAGAGTTAATGGAAAATAGTGAAATTGCTTTACCGCGCAGAATCTCAGTAGTAATGAATAAAGCGGCATCTCCAAAAATTTTTAGCAGCAGAGGATTCTTCTTTTCAATCAGCAAGATATGAAGATTTCATTCATGCTTTGCTCGCGCGGCTAGAAGCGCATGAGGGAGCAAGTTCACACAAAAGAGCCAATAGCTTATATTCCCAATGAGAACATCTTGTAACCATACCTTCGATAGTCAAGAGACAGAGCCTAGAAAGTGATAGTTGTTTGAATTCTTGCCCCCTATAAAAAGTAAAGGCTGTTTTAGAAAAAATAGATGGAAATTTAGAGATTTGAATTGAACCAGGAAACTTGAAAAATTCAAATAAAACAGAGGCTAACACATCACCTAATTTGAAACCTTATCTTGGTGGTTCCCTACGCACATTTTTGCCTTCAAAGTTGCCGGTTAAATTGGGTGGCAACAGCAAAGTTCTTTTCTAATTGAAAAAAAAGCGTTAGCTGTGGCTGTAGTTGGGAGACCGAAAGAAGGCAAACTTGTCAACAACTCAACTGAACATGTTAGACATGTCTGAAAAGTTATGCCACACATCGACGCCAATCTAATTTTTGACGCGTCCTTTGAATTTTCACCCCCGCATGGTCGTTTCGTATCCTGCGACGTTGTCTGGATTCTTCCGCTCATCAATCTGAGCAAGTAACGTCCAAGCTGGAGAAAATTCGTTGCAAAAGCATTGAAAAAGAACAAGGTAAAGAAAAACGCACTTTTTAGTGATTTTCACAGAAAAAAACCGGCATAAGCAAAGAAGTAAGCTCGGCGACGTTGTCTACATTATAGACAGAAACAAGACCTATCGATTACACAAAAAAACCGAGTGAAAAGAGTTGAACTGAAGAAAAAACAAGAGGTTTTCGAAAACTCTGTTTTTCCTATATTTCTCGTTTAAATCATAAAAAGGAGTCTTGCGACGTTGTCAGCGTGAAAATAGAGATCAAGAGCTTTGATATGATATATAGATTGTCGAAATTGGGCTCCCAAAAACGAAGAAAAGGGTACCATAGCCAAATGCCCCGCGCCCCGCTTTTGGGGTAGCGAGGTAGCGCGCAAGTCGCGGAGACGCAGACAAGCAGCGGAGACAGACCAGAGCCGGCGGGGCATTTGGCTCTGGTCATTGATCTCCGCGGGATCATAACGAAACCCTGTAACATTATATATCGTTGTGATCCTCATGAGACGTCCAGGAGCACTGACAACGTCGCGCGTCTTGAAAATCACTCCATGATAAGATAAGACCAGCATTTAAGTAGCGACTCTCTGCGCAAGATTCGAGCGCAGTTTCTCGTTTCTATTGAACTCCAGCGGCTTTCATGAACTTCCAACGCTTAATCGGAGTCTAGAGAAAGATTAATTGAGAAATTTTGCTCCAGTTCCTCATAGAATTCTTGAATAAAAGTCTTTTTGGCAAAAAAAGGGCCATAAAGTAATCCTTCGGTTTTTTGAGCTTCTTTTGGATGTCTCTACTATATTTACCTCATTCACATCTCTCCCTATATGGATATGTCATTAGTTATGCCATGATATCCGGAGCTTCGCCCCGGATGACTTCCCTCTAGGTGAAGGTTGTGTTCTATCATGACGCTCAAAGTGAAGATCACCAGAGTACGTGGCTCTATGTATCGAAGGTATGCTTGTAACTTCAGCGATGTTACAAGTGAATAAATGTATTTACTCGGTTTCTTACTTCTGTCATCTTCCTTGGATACGAAGTACACTTTTCAATGACGTAAATTAGAACTACACTGATTGCATTTTTAATTTAGCAATACGATTGCGAGATGGAGAAGCAGGTGCAGCGTGAGTTGGAAAAGGGAGCTACACGAATAACATTTGACAATGGTTATGGACAGAATATTGCTGTGTAAGTGAATGTCAGCATAGGTTCACATATGCAGTTTCTTAACCTCAAAACTGCACGAAAAGTTTACCGGTGCGCGAACCTAACAAAACATCGAGATTTGACATTGGACAATAAACTTTTGGCTAAGACGGTAGGTGTACCGTGTCTTTTTCTTTTGATCAGCTGAGTTTTCCTTCCTCCAAAAAAGACACTTCCAGGTATCTGAGTGGAAACCTTGTAGAAAATCAAAATTCATCCATTAAATGAGTTGCATTCGCAAACCGATATCTCCGATATACGCTGAATTACATATTCGTGAATATACTAAAACAGAAAGCCACTAATTCCAATCATGTGCCTCCCACAAATCAGCCAATCACGGCAGCTCAAAAACAGAGGATTTGTCACTGCGGTTTGAGTCCGGATCTAGGTTTCCGATAATCTCTGCAACACTTTTTTTTCATTTTTTCTGAAAAACTCCGGAATCTGAAGATCCAAATTTGTACCAGTTAAAACAGAGCAGGCACTATTAACCAGCGTTAATGCCGCAAATGCATAAATAACCAGCAAACCTATGACATGTGAACACATGCAAATTTCTGGAATTCCTTGATTTTTTTCCCTGCACTTATGCGTGCTTTTCTCTTCTATAATATTTCTAGAATGTAATTTGGCACTATCCATTACATGAAGGCACTCTGATGCTTGCTGCATTTCAAAAACGTGGGGTGAATGAATACCAAATTTCAAAAAATTTCCTAAATTCTTCTTTTCCGGTGCATCATGTAGAAATAAATACATAAAGCTTAAAAATATTTGTTATTTTCTTTTTCGATGACGTTTTTTGAGATGTCGATGTTCGCAAAAGATGGCTTACACTCAAAAATAGCTCACAAGGGAACGATATTCGGTGTCCGGTGGCCTTTTGAGATGAGATGTATATTATCACACTCGGCTTAGAACGCTGATTCCAAATCTTGCTTCCGTTTCTGCTAATCGCTTCAAAGATGTTATCATGGATCGCACGGAGATTGGCTGCCCAGTGAAATTTTGTCGAAGCGCCGTATATCTTCGGTGCGTTGTGGTGTAATGGTTAGTGCGATAGCCTCATGAGCTGATGCAGGTTAGGTTCGATTCCTTTTGTGTTTTTTGATTTTGCGTCGCCTCAATTAAACTTCTTTTGCATCCTCAAGCTAAGTAAACGCCCTTACTCTTGAAAAAAGTGGAATTTTGGAAAAAATGACTACTGTTTGCGCTAAAATGTATTCAATGGTCATAATTCGAGTAAACTTCCTCGAACAAGTTTAATTGAGGCAATGCAAAAGTAAAAACACAAAGGATTTGTACTTACACCTGCATCAACTTATGAGATCGCACTAACCATTAGACCAGAACGTGGTCGCGGTAGAGGCCGTTCCAATGACCATATTTTCGCTTAAGCGGCCAAACTTGGACGAATTCCTCCGTAACTTCTTTCAGAGGAACGATTAGCAGAAACGGAAGTCAGATTCGGAATCAGCGTTCGAAAACGAGTGTAATGGTATAAATCTCGTCTCAAAAAGCTACGGACATTGAGTATCGTTTCCTTGTCAGATAAACCTGCATCTATCAGACATCGTCATCCAGCCATACTTGTCAAACACTATAGACTTGATTGATTACCATATCGTCCGTTCTCTTGCTCATCACCTGGAATAATTCCAGTTGATTGAAAAAAATTGACCATAAAACGTACTCTCACAAACAGATTGGATGTTTTGGCACAAGCGAGAACAGACGGTATCGAAGAATAGATCATTTGACTACGCCCACATACTTGTGAACATGAGATTTCTGAAGAACCACCGGGGTTTTCAGAATCTCATGTTTACGGGCACCTTATCGTGAACTGCTTACTTTCAAAACGATTATTCAGTTATGCTGACGTTATTGAAGCATTAAAGGCAGTGGCTCGGCAAATCCTCAACTTGAAATTCTATCGCATACCTGGGGTATTTCGACGCGCTGATTCCAAAAATACACTTTGGAGATCGTGAAAATGGCGAAAAGCAACATTTTCCAAAACTGCTTATTCTGAATTTGGGCGAGTGTACCACTCCCCGCCATGGTTAGAGACGTAGAGTTGTTGCGGAACCCTCATGTTCAAAGCATTGCGGCATGCCGTCTCTGACGATGGGAGAGGAATCTCAAGCTCGTCCGAGCGAGTGTAAGAATGGCTTGCGCGGGTTTAGGGGCGGTTTTCTAGGCAGGGGCAGCATGCTGTGCACTCGGACCTGCTCTGTTCTCAACCTTCTATATCAAAATTCGAGGTGTTCGGTTTTTCCGAGCCATTGCCTTCAAGGTAGACTTCAAGCTCATGGTGTACCCTTTCACAAAATGTACCAGGACGCTGCCTTCTTTCATAGTCAACTCTTATCGATTTAGTTTCTATGTATTAAGCGGTTCTTTGGCTATTAGAAGAGTATCAAGACTTGCGAAAAATTCTGTCAATCTTTTGACATGACAATGCTCCTTTGTGAGAAACGGCAGGCATATTAAGGCATATTATTCATGAGTAGATAGTGAAGTTTTCGTAGATCAAAACCTAAAAGAGCCCATAGGCTCTTCAGGGCCAGGAGGTTTTTTTACCGAGCAAAAAAGTCGTTTTTCGAACCTGCTTCTTTGCATGCCTATTTACGAATTATGAAAATTTTACTCAACGCGAGCGGTAAAAAGAATCAGTGAATGGACACTGCTAGCTCTCCACTCTAGCATCTCCAACTTAGAAATCATCGAATGCGTCTAATCGCAAAAAGTTATTGCTTCTAGAACATCATTACAAAAAATTAAAGTTCGACAACAGATTCTAGCTTTTAGCTAGAAAGACGTTTTCTTGATGAAATTGAGCTTGTGCATATATTAGCCTGTTACACCCTTATTCCGTAGCCTACGAAAGAACTTGATTGAAGGGCGCATTGTGGAGATTCCTTGCAAGAACATAGTTCTTAGGTGAGATGGTATCATTTGATTCAACGAGCTTGGCTTCGAGTAGGCGGTACTCCGTGACCTAATTAAGGCTAGGTAATGATCAGAAAGCACTCGCGCGAGAGAGACGCAGGTGAGTCGGGGGCGCGAGCGGCCGTAATTAGGTCACGAAGCCCCGCCTTCCTGAAGCCAAGCCAGTTGAAGTGAGTTTCAACTCAGTTTAGACGGAAATTGGACTGGCGGAAGCCGCTTCGCAACATTTCGCTCCGCTTTGCAGTCTGCGTCCCTTCATTCTAATCTATCTCGCTGAGCAGTGACGACGCGGGCGCGCTGCTCCACTTGGAATGTTTTGCCTCTCCGGGTTGAAAAAGACTGTAAATCAAAGGTTATATCTGCCATCAAAGGATCTTAGCCCGGCAAGCTCGTTAGACTGAGGAATTTGTTAAAACTGGATATGTACTAAAAAAAGCAAGAAAAGGCTTTCAATGATAGCAGTATCGCATTAGAGGTGAAAGCAGCAGCCTAGTATATTACTCGAAGTTTACTTTAATGCTTAATTATTTGATGGTTTGATTATTCTGAATGTCTAATTTCAAGGATGACTAAAATGGCAGATAACATGATTGAGAATGTCAAGGTTGCCATGGAATTATGGTCTTCTCCTATCCTTCATTATGGTATTAGAAATGAAAAGAAAAATGTCACTTACGATGATGCACGACTTTACACCTTTGCTAATGTAAGTGTAACAGTGTGTTATCTGTTAGTTGTTAGATAATTTCACTCCAGATGGTATTTGCAAAAACAACTCGCATCGGTTGTGGTTACGAAGAAAGCGGAAGTACCGTTGTTTTTTCGTGCATCTACAATCTGGTGTAAGTTCATAAAATCCTAAAACTAACGTCTTTTATGACAATGACGACGAATATGACATAAACATTGCTGTCGTACTATCACACATAATTTTTTTAGTGGAGGTTTCCCGGGCACTACTCTCTATGAATTAGGGGAAGGCTGCAGCAGTCACTGGGACTGTACAACATATTACGGTTCAGATTGTGACGCATTTGAGAAATTGTGTACATATCCAGAGCATGTAGATCCAGGTCCAGGTAAGTATTGCCCTCTATCAACTTTTGATCTTCAAATTGTTTATAGGTGATGACAGAAACATTATGTGTAAGGATAACATAGGTTTGACAGATCAGGATCGCAAGGACTTTCTATATTTTCACAATTGCGACAGGTAAACGATGATAAGTTCATGCATTACAGATATTGCGCCTGTAAGAATTTTTGAGCCATATGATTACAAGCTTTGTTCCGTGATAGAACGCCTAATTTCACAAATTTAACAATAATTCATCGCGAATGGATAATTTGAGGGCCACATACAAAAGCTATATCTTCCTACATGTTTGCGTAGTCATTGTTAGATTATTTCATTCATCGAACGGCAAAGTAATAAAAACAAAACTCCAAAAAGCCGAAGACGCGTGTGGCAATGAGTAAAATTTTGTATGGAGGTCTGGAAATTCTTGAGTTTAGGAAGCACATGTAGGACTGACAAGGAGCAAAAGATAAGTAAATTCAAACTATCAAAGGAAATGCCCGCATGGAAGTTTTGGAGAAAATGAGCAATCTGATTATGACCGTATGCATGAACATCCCTGCAGCAACCGCAGCGACTTTTAGGCAAACAGGCCTAAAACTCAACAGATGCTGAGCCATTCGTTATGGGTAAGGGCAACTTTGACAATTCGTTACGGTTTTGGGTCGTCATCACTGAACGTTATACGCGGTTGCGGTTGCTGCTTGATTTTCTACAGTCCGACTAGTGACGGCAGGTTTATGCGGACATCAATCTATTACAAACGCAATCTCTTCGTTGGCATTCCACGTGAACGACATAGTGGGGACAAGTATGTAATTTTCTAGAGGGTTTATCTTCACTTTCAGACTAATAAGTTCTCTTAGATTAGAACTTCGAATTTCAAGTCTATATTATTCAAATTTTATTATCTACAAAGGCTTTCTCTCCATGCTTTCTGTGCTGCTCGTGAAGCTTTAGTAGTTGGTCTAACAGCCTACGTTTCGGGAGCGTACATAGCGCCGAAAGACAAATTTTAGGTAAAGCTCTACACGGCTTGCAGTTTCTCTCAGAAATCCGAATACCCCCATCCTGTTCCTTGTCTTCTGTTGATTTTTTTGCGTGTGGTCGTTTATGAATTTCCAAAAAAGGTGAGATGAGGTCTCGTCTACCGACGATCCATGGTCCTACACATTACACCGGGCACTGTTCCACTTCTCCTAACTTACTTGCTTTGTCCGTTCTTATTTAATTTTTTGGTCTTCGTCGTTGTACCTCAAAATGAAAGTGATTGTCGACGAAACGAAGCTGAGTGAAGTATTTTTCATTTGATTCATTTCCATTCTCATCTCACCTGTGCGCACACCCCTCTTTCCCTTCTCCAAATTTACCTCAGTGTGTGCTCGGCAAGAATTTCGTCTAGATTGAAATTGTGTCTGGTTTCTGTACTGTAGAGCTGACAGTACATAATTTTGAGAAGGCTTCTTTGCGGTCGTGCGAAGGCCATTTACGAGCGTCAATAGAAATTCTTCTTATAGAATTTCAATTTTAAGCCCAAAGCTTGTATCGGTCGTTCGTGTTTGTAAAAATTTCTACGACACTTTGACTTCTTCTTTTCTTCTGCTCACTTCCGTATTTCTAGTCATTTCGAAGTTCCCTACTCAGCTCATTTTCAAAGTCCTTCAATCGTCTGATTCTCTTAAGGCTTTTCACTTTCTCCTTTCATGTATGAAATCGGAGTGTTTTTTAAAAAATTATTGAAAAAAATTATAAAATCATTATTATGAGGCTCATTAAATCTCACGCAATGACAGAATACTCCCTATGCGAAATCCATGCAAGTCTACGCACAAAGCACACGGTAGCCCTAACCACTTGTACAAACCGAGTCGACCATCTGACCACAAACCGTCTTAGTACAATCATTGTATTGATACTCATACTCAACGTGGCTTTTGTTGATTAGGAGCTGAGGCTAAGGCTGAGTTCTAACGTCCTTGTTTACGCACGAATTCGGAAACAGCTTCTATGCCTCATCGAGTGTGTTTTGTTGATCTACGAGTGTCCTTCTCCGAATCATGAGTGCCACCGGAAAGAGAGAGAAACAAAGAAATAGACGGTTTCGAAATGCGAAAATTGAATGAATTGCCATTTTGGATAGGATAGCTTTCGGCTATGTGCCATGCACATAGCTGAACTGCGGCGTTCAGCCCTGACAAGGGAGGTCCTTAGTCGAAGTGGCCAGATGGAATGTTCGAATAATCAACATTGGAGCAATTCTGCAAATATTGTCTAATTATGCATTCAATTTTTAAACTCAAAAAACGCCCACTCGACGTTCAGATGCGCTCGGCAGATAATGAAGACAGATTTGGAATCAGCGTTCGAAGCTCTTTATAGTCGTATCAGTATCATGCGAAAAGGCCACTTCGACCAAATGGACCTCCCTTGTGAGTTGCTTGAACTGGGATGACTCGTGAGGGTGGGCCTTCTACGCCCAAGTACATTTCACGTAGACCATGAAGGAACTGCAGTGATGAGGGAAGGTTATCCTAAGTTTTCCTTTTTTTAGCAGCTCTATGAGGTGCGTTAAGCGGTTGTGATTACTGCGTAAATGAAGAAAATCTGTAAGCACACTTGCAACTATAACAATTAACACATTAAGGAGCACAATTGCTACGGGCTCTGGTTGGAATGGAAATCCCTCGGTTTTGTTACCTACCGCCTCTTTCATGCCAGAAATGGTAAGATACATCAAAAGCTTTGCCAGTACGATCCATAACAATGGCCATGTAATCTACTTCCTAAGATTAAATTACATTTCATCAACTTTCAATTGTCGATAAATTTTAAGGTTTACGATTGTGGGTTAGAATCTGACGCTATCAAGTACGTGAACAAGTGTTCTATGAAAAAATCCAGCGTTAGCGAAAGACCAGGTTATGGTGAGAATGTGTACATTACATCACCAAATTTGACTCCCTTTGAAGCATTGAAAGAAGTAAGTTTGCTTACTTTTTCAAAATTTGGTATGTTTTGAGCTGCGTACGAGCTTTCTATTTTGAAGCTCGAGGTACTCTGGGAATATTTCCAAAGGTCAATATTATCAGCCTGTTTTCGAAATGCTAGTGCAAAATTGGAGCGGTGAAACATCCTTAATTACCACCATTATAGCACCCTTTCACGTGCCATTACCAGTGGGAGTTCACATCATTGTTTCGGAGCTCTAAATCCTGTTCCTATCTCATAACTCAATCAAGCCTTGAGTTACGACATGATAGTGAAGCATGGCCGAAGACAACTATAGGTTGCTGCATGACGAAGACGCAATATATTTCAGCGCGAAGCCGCATTCGAAGCCATATTCGAGCGCATGAGGAGCACGATTTACAACGGTGGAGATACGTGCGCGTAGCGGTTGCGTCCGCTCAACTAATGCTTCTGCGCCTTCGTCATGCAGTAGCCTTTAACTAACAACGTCGACCTGTATGTGTCTGATCTCAGGTCTTTGTGCGCAAAATTCTTCGTTAGGTGGTCAGGGTACCATTGGGGGGGGGGAGGTAAGATAACATCTGGATGTGATAACAAGTTTAGCTAACTCGAGAAAAATCAGTTGGGTACAGTATCCAACGTTTTGGTGCATAACGCAATTGCGCTGCATAGTGCATGAAAAATTCGAGAAGGAATTGGAAATAAAACGCATTTTCAAATCTTTTACCTATTTTTAGAACGTATGTGAGTAATTTCGTTCATAGACGCCAAGATTTCCGCAGCAAATATACTCAACTTAGGGCCTCCGAGAGCGTCTCTCTATAAAAGTTCGACCTAGTAAATCCGCTGTTTCAAAAAAAAGCAGTTTAGTGTTTAGCATAATCTCTCATACTCTGTATCGTCTGCGCTGCTTTTGGGGACGCTTCCTTGCCTTCGACAGAGGTTGAAAAGTGCTTCAAACTGCTTATGGCAGAGATTCATGTATTTTTTGTTGCCCAAAAAACGATAAATATAAAAACTCTAATGTGATAGAATGTCAAGGTTCCAGGTCTTCCTCATGTTTTGCGGAGGTCTCTCGAGCCTTGTAAGGTTGTGCTACTAATTTCTTACGCAATTGTTTACTTGAAGGCAAAGACTTACGATAGTTAAACTTTTTCAACTCTCAAGAAATCTAGAAGCGGATCTGTTTAAAGGCCACTGCTTAAGTCTCTTTTGCTACGATCTACTCATCTCAAGATCTCAATGAAAGTGCCCGGAAAGCGCAAACCGGCCCGCAAATGTAACCTTTCTCTTTCACTCTCTGTTTTCAACACGTCTTTTTTTCTTCGTCGCAACAACAGACTTCGATGTTTTGCAGCTGCCCCAAAGTGAGTACTATAGATGATCGGGGCTTTAAGTACGCGAAAACTACGTGGCCAAATTTTGCTAAGATGGTGCCTTCAAACACTGTGTGAATCAAAGCAAAACGCCAAGCAAGATGAAAATAAATTTGTCGTTGCATAAAGTATCTTACATGTATGCAGAGCACATATAATTTGTGTAGTTTGAGCGCCGGCATTAGTGGTGCAACTTTGTCCAAACCTATATCTCTAGTCTGTAACGAAGCACTCAAACAACGAAACCAGTCTCTGCTAATCTCCCGCGTTGCTAGGTTGGGTTTAACAGTTAGTCTGTGCTTGTCAGGATGATATGGATAAGTGTTTCAATTTGTTAAATGAGCAATCTCAATATATAAAGTTGACAAGAGAGAAGTCAAAAGATTAGTGGTTGCCATTCTTAAACGTGCAGGTTAATATCAGTTACGGTGCGCACACGGCAAAATGGTATCGCAAGCCGAGTAATAAAAATATTCATGTCCATTCACTTGCGGCCCATCCGCCATGGACGAAGAGAGCTATTATCAACAACATGTTTCGCACTGCTTCTCAAGTCTGTAGTAGTCCGAAAGAAAAGACAGAATCGATAGCGCTTGCCCGTAGAATAGCGGCTTCTAATGGATACGGACACCATGCAGGTAGAACAAAGAAAAGTGTTAAAAATCGCGTACAGAAAGATGTTTCCCATACGCCCAAAAAAGTCACATTTTGCGTCCCTCATATGTCCAAGGAAGTAAGCGCATCATTGCGACAATGTTTGAAAAGAGTAGGATTTGAAGATCTGGTCACGATTGTTGAATTACCGCCGAATAACTTGAAGACCATCCTAGTTCGCAATCGCTTGTATGATCGCAATTGCGTTAGCCCAAATTGCATAATCTGCACTGCAAGCAGAGAAGGGGACTGCATGGCAGCTGGAGTCATCTACTTGATTTCGTGCGCGATTTGCGGCGGCGAATACATTGGTGAAACAGCGCGTCCACTATGTATCCTCTTAAAGAGCATCTAGACGACAGAGATAAAGCACGTACATCAACACCCCTAGGCACCCACAGGGTAGTACAGCATGCAGGAACGAACTTTGAAATTTCAGTGAGAATCTTGGCCTATGAGCCCCAACGCAAGCACGTAAGTGTCTAGAGGCGTTTTGGATTTATGCAAAAAGCCCAAAATGACTGGTGTATATAAATAGCGGTCTGCACACACGTCTGATAAGTCCATCTTCCTTTAGCAGCGAACGACGTGAACCTCCACTTTCCTCTAGCAGAGTAGTATTGGCGCATCCAGAAGGTACGTGCTCGAGTGCAGCTGAATCAGTGGTCGAAACAAGGTTCAGCATTTCGCCTGTTCTGTAAGGCTTGTTCGAATCGGCTGCGGATCGTATTATTCCTTACAGGCTCTGACGAAGGCGATCTGCCGAAACGTTAGCCGTGAATTGAATAAATCAAGTACCAATCTCGTATATGGCTCAAAAAGAAAGAACAAAGTTTTAGCACAGTTCTCGCACTGTGCTGGAATTCCCGAAACAGGCGCTGAAGCCGCCCGCGCAGTGGTATTAGAGATTTTTGACGGTTTTCGTCGTTTTTTCTTCCACATTTCACTCATTTCGGTCCATTTCTCTACCTCTCCGAGTAAAGCTGCGAAATTGTGCAGTGTTGAAGAATGATTGCACTTCAGGAGTATGAAGTAGGTCCGAACAAAATAACGAAGACAGAATGTACCGACGCACCAGAATACATCCCGGACACATATAACACAAAATAGCCTCTCTGTAATCCCGCTTCAAGTTTGCAACTTTTCTCATTACAAAGAAGAGGGAAAGAAGAAGAACGGATGAGCAATGATAAGGAAAAGGAAAGGGATTGAGAATGCCAAAAGTGAGACTAATTGAAAAACTAGCGAAAAGTGTCATTTCGCATTTTGAGATTTGCTGACAGCTTCAGCTCAGGAGAGACGGCTGTGGGATACGTAGCGGCTTTGTGGAACACGTGCAATAGGCCTGAATAAGAATAACAAAGTGAGAATGGAGGAGCACACGAGAACCCATTCTCCCGGATAACCAGAATCGCTCTCATTCTCCAAACCCTCAAGTTCTGCTTCAAGTTTGCGGCCTTTGCTTGGAAGTAAAAATAGTTTGACCATTCTCATCACGAGGAGAAGCGATGTAGAAGAAGAAGACTAAAATGAAGAAATCTGAGATAAAACCCGCTGGGAACGGTTAGATCTCTAGCTCCCGCCGCTCAAAACCACTGCGGGCGGCTACAGCGCATGCAGCACGGTTCGTGCGCGGCAGCACAGTGCGAGAACTGTGCCGGAACTGTTCCGGCACTTCCTAACAGTACGAACTCAGCTCAAAAAGCTAGTTAGGCACTCAAAGATCACGTCAGAAGAAGGGTGGCAAACTATATGAACGACAGCGCGCGCTTAGCCAGGCATGTGGTGCGCCCAGTGGCGTACCCAGGATTTCGGCTCGGGGGGGGGGGCGACAAAAATTTTTTTGGGGTGGTTCTCAAAACTTTTGCGGGTCTCCGACCCCTAAAATCTGGAAAAAGGGGGCGTGGCGTCAGCCACGCCCCCGAAAAAATTTTTTTTACAAAGCTAATTTGAATTTTTAAAAATTTTTAAAAAATTATTTTAGTTATTTACAAAAATAAACAAGTCACCTGCACATTTTTATAACCCATATAAGTAACTTTCAAAAATTTCGCGACCCATTCTCGGGGGGGGGGGGCGCGCGCCCCCCCCCCCTCCGCCCCCCCTCGGTACGCCACTGAGTGCGCCCGTTAACCTCTTCCATCGCTAGAGAACGCGCTTCCTGCACTACAGCTTTACCACTGGTTCATGGCCATGTTCACTATTCCATTAAAAGCAGCTCTTGTAAGTAAGCGATAAACTTCTCCCAAGCTAAGGAAAAGCTTGTTATTTGCATTCTTGTTGTGCTTTCTCGTTTTTTTTGCCAGTTAATGAGCTACTGATGTGCTGTTTACCTCATAAATGATCGATTGCTCTGCAAATATCCAATCGGAGGATACAATCTAAATAGAATGCCTGGCATGATTATCTGAGTGACTGAAATCTTTAGACAAGTCTACACGCAAGTATGCGCGAATTACCGACTGATTTATATTATGGGCACCCGTTTCTAAAAGTAAAGCACATCACAGTACACTTCTGTGTTGAAGCAGATTCTCAATTAAAAAAAATGAGTGGTATGGCGGAATATTTGCTACAAATGATGTCTAATTTCTAATTTTTTTACGAATTTGTTGACTACCGTTCGAAAGAAAACTCTAGAATTTAATAAAACGACAAGAACTGAAACAGTTCTATGCACTCTCGGAACAAATTTTGTTCAGAGTTCTGATACAACACTTAACTTAATTCGAAAAAGAACTTGCGATCTAATTGAATTGAGAAATGATCTTGAAAGTTGATTTTTGAAGTATATGTGAGTTTTGTAATCTACTGTGTAAATTCTGAATGGCATCAACAGAAGAAGAAGCATAGTACTTCAGAGCTTTTCCAATTGCAACGCATTCCTATGTTAATTGACTAGAAAGTGGAACCAGGGCTCGGAACCAGGAAGATTTTCAAACGAAGTCTCCTTTGATTCCAAAAAATTCCTACGAAGTCCGCTTTGGCCCGGGCCCCCTCACTCCCCTTTACTTTGCCTTTTACTCTTCATCCTGAGTGGCACTGATGCCAAACCCAGAATAAAGGGCAAAACCCGAAACAAAAAAAGGCGAACATACTGCTTTCCCTACCCCCCCCCCCCCAACTCGCCTTCTCCAAAAATATTCTGCGAATGAGACAAACAAATGAGAAAACAACTGCAAAAAAAGAGCTAAAGACTAAGATAAAGGCATGGATAACGAGAACCCAGCGAAAATGGAATATTCGCGCGTCGGTTTGCTTGGGGGCGCGCTTTGCGATCGGAGCAAAGCGCTAATGAAATGAGGGCTATAAACAGCCCAGAGGACTACGACACCGTTTTTTCGTGTATGAAAATTTTTGCGGAGTAGGTAAAGTTATGTAAAAAAAGTTCAAAAAATTATGTGAGAAAGGTCGGATCCAGCTAAGCTAACGCCCAGCTGGAATCATCCCAGCTAACTCAAAAAAAAATTAAGCACTGCTTTCATTTACATAAGTTTTCACAAATTTTTGGGCTATAGTGGTAGCTGGCAGATGCTATCGTTCATAAGTCACGCAACTTACTAGGAAGGGTAAGGTTGGAAACTTTCAAAAGTCAAAAGATGCTGTCTTTGACACTTGCCAAAAAATAAATCTCGCAAAATTAAAAAAAACTCTATTTTAGAATCAAGTAGACAGTCTGTAATACCTTGTTGAAAAATTAGAATCATGGAAAATGAAGTGTAAAACTAACTATGATGCTTAAGACATCGAAATTCAAGATATTTGTCATCTTGTACCATCGCAAATTTTTGAGGCTGAGACTGCTTGGGTATACGAAGCATATAATTCAACGACAAAAATTGACAACGCGATGAAGTTTGATGAGTCACTGAGGAACAAAAGTAGCTTCTCACAGGTAAAGAACGAAGTTTTTAGTCTTCGGCTGAACGGCTTTTGATGCAGGTAGTATGGGCAAAGAGTTTTAAACTTGGCTGCGCAGTGCGAAAATGCAACTTCGCAACTTTCGTCGTCTGCCGATATAGTCCCGCGTAAGTTTAAGTTTGTCAAATTTGAATATCAAAATGTCAGTTTGTCAGATAATATGTCAGATAAGTCATGCATTTGTCAGATAATAATATTCTACAAATTTTTATCATTCTTAGTTCAATGATGCTTAGCGTTTGTTCGTTATAACAAAGCAAGCTCTGACCCATAATTTTTGATGTTTGCATAGAGTTGATCCACTTTAATTTGATATTATATTGAATTTACCTGACAGAAATTTTAGAATTGGATCTTTGCACAGAGACTGAACTCCTACTTACTCACTATGCCTTTCTAAATCTCATAAGTTGAACAATCTTGTCGCACCATTTCCAAAATCAATGCCAAATTTTATTTGTCTCGCAAACTGACGTGCTATGAAACTGGTAATGTTGATGTTCCGTAGTTAACAGACGTATCAGAGGCACTATCCACCCAAACTCTTTTGTGTCGGGGGCGGGGCCTGCTTGTCGGGGCCTGCTCATGTCGCTGATTCCGAAGTCCGTGAAAATCCGCGAAAACTCCAACAACCCCCATTCTAGAGAACCTGCTCATACTTGAGGGGGCGGTGCCGCCTAGGAATCCTAGTGCTTCCTCTCCGAAACAATCGTCTCGCTTTCAGAGCGACATTTTGAGCCGCGACATTTGCTTGATAGGGAGTGCTATATCGCATGCCGTGAAAAACTCAAGACCCCAGCTCAGGGCGGACGATGCCTTTAAGTAGCCAGCAGTAAGTAGAAGAGATTTCATAGTTTCTTTTATTATCAAAAGTAGTCCATATGGTCTTCGATTCAAGATTTTTTTGAACAATGAAAGACCTTTTTAGCTTTGCTCTAGTACACGCATACATGACTTTTAAATCAAAATTTCTCGTACTCGTCGCGAGCGATCATAACTATTTGGTGGATGGACCCTGCTAGCACTTGCTTTACTCTGAAACCTCCAACGATGCCTCATCGACTATGTATTCACAGAAAATTGTTGCTTGTAGAACAACTTGGTTTCCCATAACTGAGTCCACAGGCAGGTGAATTTTGTGTATGTGCTAACTTTACACATATTCCATGACCCATGTGAAGGCTTTAATTAAGGGCTTTGTGGATACATCTTAAAAAAGCGATCTAAGGAAAGATCCTAATTCGGCCATTTATGTCTTGACACAGTCTCGTTGGGCTAAAGATTTTATTGGATATATCTCAGAAAAGCAAGGAACACTCTTTATAAGTGTACAATCATTATCGCATGATACATGAAAATCTTCTAGATTTTGCTTCAGACGCAAAGCGAAAAAAAAATGGACAGAACTTAGCATGATCCAGGCCCCAGCTAGCATGCTAAGCTTTATTTCGTGATTAGCATGTCAGATAACCCCCTCCAAATATTGGACCACCCAAGTAAAGTGGTTATTTTTTGAATACAATAACGCTCACATTTTTTGAAAAAATAGACGCGTTTATTCGCGTCTATTTTTCAAAAATTGTGAGCGGTATTGTAGATAATTAATTTTTTAATTTTGCTGACAAATGATTTAGCTTCTTTTTTCAGCATTTCTTATAAAGCACTACTACTTTAAATGACCATCAAACTATGGAATTAGAAAGCCCAAATCGACGTTTGTTTCATTTTTTTGGTCGCTACTCTGTATAATTTGCCGTTAATTTCAGAAAACGACACAAACTTATAGAATCGCATAAGATGTGATCACAGTTTGTATATTTTATACTGCATATTCCAGTGGAAACATCTTTGGTGAGCAGATATATGTACCCGGAGCGACATGCCAAGGATGTGCAGATCATTGTTCTGAAGGGTTGTGCAGCGTCCATTGAGTACATGCACGAGAATTTGATTGTTTGGAAATAAATGGTGATACTAAACTCAAAAAAATCTTTTTTTTCGTGGATACATCTTAAAAAAGCGATCTAAGGAAAGATCCTAATTCGGCCATTTATGCTATTCTTCTTTGCCTGTATCTTAGCGTACTAAACTGTACTAAACTCCAATGCAGTTGGTTTGTCCTGTTATCAAGCTAATGTTGACGTTGGAATACGCAACATAAAAGTCTAATAAGAGTCCAACGTCAAAATATCATGCAAATTGGGTAGATTTGTTTTTCTTCTGCCTTGATTATCCGTGCCACAACCGCCACCTCAAACCTGTGTGAAGGTTTTGAGCTAACAAGGGAATGGTCAGAAGTCGAAGTGGCCAAGCCAGAGAAGCTATATATCATTCGATGCAGTATAAAACGCTGACTTCGTATCTGTCTTCCTTATCTGCTTTCCGCTTCTGTGGACGAAGCTACAAGCGGTTTTATTGTGAAAAATTATACATAAAAACAGCGAAATTGAGCACATTGTTGCGCTTTTAGCTCAGCTTCTGGCTTCAAAAATTTTAAGTAAGCTAGCTGCATGTTTTGGCAGAGCATTGAGGCGAACGTGGCTCTGTACGGCTAAATTTTCAATTTCACGCATAATTTCTTAGCAAAATAATGGTCTTTAATGGCTTATAGCTTCGTCCAGAAAAGCGATAAGCAGGTAAGGAAGATTAGAGTCAGCGCTTCATGCTGCATCTGACGGTATGCAGCTTGTTTGGAATGGCCACTTCGATTTCTGACCATTCCCTTGCAAGCACACTCGCAAGACTCAGTGATGTACATCACTTTTGCTTCTAAAGGGGAGGCAGGAGTGTTGGGAAACAAGTTTGATACATTAGCAGTTGTCTAAAATGATGAAAAAAGCAGATCATTTTAAGGGAGTAGAGAACTTGGTAGGAGAAAGTATTGCATGAGACAAACTAAGAGAGTTTGATTACCTCAGTTCTCAACGCAGTGCTTACCAGAGATTCAAAATGCGCAGTTATTACGATATGAATACTGAATAAGAGTGAAATTGCTTCGAAGCTTTCTTATCTCTAGAACAAGAAATGGTATCTTTTATCGAAAATCAAATGCTTTTCAGAAAAGTGATTCGAAAAAATGCTATAATTACATGGCGATTTTGCGCAACAAAAAAAATGACTGGTTTGTTGCAGCTTGATCACTAAAGATTTACTTCAAAAATTACGCAAAACAATCTCCTCTTCTGTCAGAGGCCTCTTAGGCCAAAAAACTTTTTTTGGAGAATTAACCTCAAACTATGACGGAATCAGCGGCAACACCGTTGGGCATTAGTGCTGTGCTACAGCTGCGATTGCGAGGCTGCATATAAGCTGATTAGAATTTTATGTGTTATTTCTTTTAAAATATACAAGCTAAGTTTTATCTTCATCAGCGATGCTGCAGCGATTGTTTTCTCATATACGCGTAATGTTCTGCTTCTTTAAGAGAAGTTTTGTTCGATAGTTAGCAGACCTCATATGCAGACTTTGCTACAATTGTTATTCAATAAAACAATGGAGAGATGATGATTGAGAAATAGTGGTGGAGTTTACAGATTCACCCGGATGACATGAATGCGGATCATATTGTAGGTCACAACTCGAAGCATGATCCTTCACTACAAAGCCTATAATATTATTTGTAACGGGGGGTGGTTTACTGGTAAGTTCCAGCAGAGCCTGATCGATGGAGAAACACGGGTTTGAGTACTAGAATTTATCCTTATGGCACAAAACTAACAACGAACAGAACAGAATGCTATATACAACAACGCGGCTTTAACACGATTCGCCCTCTCAGTAGGATCTCTTGGCTCCCTCTCAGTAGGATCTCTTGGCTATCTTTATCTCAGGGGAGGTCCGTCTCTTTTCGACGCTTTTAAACTCCGCTTTAAACAGCGCTCTCTTCACGCTCTGGCTGGTTCCCCCTACCCATCGGTATTTACAGCCTGCTGACAGGTCGAATCGGCTTCTCTTTTCCCGCCAATAATGATAGGTAGATCTATGATCCGCGCCATACAGCATTTTTAGTAGCTGCATAGGACGAGGGAATGCAATACAAGCGACGATCTAATGTCAGAATATATTTCAGGATTACTTATGTCACGGTGTACATGAGACACCAAAGTACGCAGATCAAAAAACAGCTTGGATTTGTCATTAACAAACATTAAAACACGCACAGACACCCTTCTTGCTTTCTGTCGGATAGCAGCGGTTTCGTTGTAGCGTTTCACAAAGCTTTCTGACGAATGCAGAACAAAAAGATTGGGTAGAAAATGCAGACTTGTGACTCAAAAGCTTTAACGTATTCCAAGACAAAGAGTTAGAATAAATCAAATCAGCTATGGAGAGATGCTATCTTGTAGAGCTGGATTCAATTCCTTCGATTCAGATTTACATATAGAGCGAATCACCGATTGCTCTTTATTACTGTAGATTTCGGTGGGAACTTTCTTTGTGGATTGATCATGTTCCAGAAAAGTCTCTAATAAATCTGAAAAGTGGCGTCCCGGGATTTTAATGCACGCTGATTTCATTGCTTAACCTCTTACAAGATTATAAGGATTTTCAGATGGTGTAATCACAGTTCTAGGGAACCTTCCAAAAACAGCCATTGCAGTAACCTAGCATAACTTACGAAGGAAGCATTGCGGTAAAGCCAAACTTCATGTTTAATTACAAGGATATCGATTTGGCCTAGTGTAAGGGTTTTCAGGTTGGTTGGTTTGCTTTCTACGGCCAGATAGCGCTCTCAGCGGCTGAAATCGCTTCCCAAATTCTCTGCCGTAATCCTATAGTAGTGAAGAGCAATCGATGATTCGCTCCATACTGTAAATTTAAGTTGAAGCCAGCTCTTTGAAATGATACCTAAAATTAGGCAAAAAGCTTTTTCGAAAGAGAGATATTAACAGATCAAACAGTGTATACATACTTTTGGGGCACCCTGTATACAAAAGTTCATATGTTAAAACTTTACATAACAAATGACTTCATGAAAGACGACCGTCAATTGGTTCCGAAAGTTGACTTGCCAATCAAATGGTGGGCATTGACAGATCTCCTGCGTCCACGTAATCGACAAGTCCTCATCGACAGAACTAAAACGATCAGAAATGTTATACGAGCGCTCGTGACAAAAAATACTGCATCGCTGCACTTCTGCAAAGCAGCTGATGATAAAGGGAAGACCGCTTTCCGAAGGTTTGAACATGCTTTAGAATGTGAGTGCTCGATTCCACTCCTGAAGAAAAACGCAAACCATCAGTTTTTTCAAAATTATCGCATGGGAAGCTTAAAGCGATTTCTTTGACTCGTGATAAGAATAAAACGAACAATGTCATAGGCGCTTTACTGTCTTAGAGTAGGTGACGATGTCCTTTCTTGTAAGTTCTCCTATGAACTTTTCCGCATTCTACTCTAACCACATTTCAGCCAACACTGTTGCTCTGCTGCCTTGGTAGCTCGTTTGCACAAACAGATGAAGGTACGTTCAAGTTTCGATATCATGTTGCGTTTGGTTAAGCAAACGATAAAATTCTTTCTCCAAAGATAAATCAGGGAGAGGAAAAACACTTAGATTATGTAAAGCATTGGCAGTTTTTAAATCAGTAACCTTTCCAAAACTTTACTATTAGATCCTCATTTAGCATATACAGGGTGTCTCAAAAGTCTTGTAGCCTAGTAAACCTCATAAAAACAGTACGGAACAACATAGAGGTATAAAATATAGAGCACACATTACTCAAACAATAACGATGCAGTACAATACTCTAATTTTGCGAAAGCAATTTTTCTTGTTGATGGAAACCTCTTCAAACTATTGGCAATTGCCACCGCCTTGGCACACAGGCAGTCATCGTCAACTTCGTCCTACGCCTTTATGAAAATCGTTCACAACGCTTAGAAAATGTGCAGTATGATAGAACAAGCTTCCACCTACAACTTACATAAAGAAAATTTTTCGCAAAATTTAGGGTCGAAGTTATAGGAATTTTGATGCAGGCATGCGTAGACCTTAAGCGGGAGGTTTTGGACACGATTACGGAATAGCAGAGCAGAAAATTGGCACGATGTGTTTGAAACAAGTTCGTCATTCAAGTTGAACTAAAATCTCATCTAGAAGACACATGGAGAAACAGTAACTGCTTCACCTCTACAGATTCAGAATTAATGTTCAAGACATAGTGGCCGTGGCACGCACCCAAAATCTCCAATTTTTTGCCTGTCTTGATGGATTAGATTTTTGAGTGCAGCTAATATAGTGACAGTAATGTACGGCCTCCTCTATAAACAGGAAATTGTACCAGAATGTTCTAAACACTAAAGTTGTGGAAGAAATAGTAAACCCAAGAAAATAGATTTTTGCTGCTCTCAGAAAAACATGGTTCGATGATTCGTTTTTTAGACATAAAAGAATTATTTTAGCCTTTCAAAAATGAATACTGAATACTGGGAAGGATGATTCCAGTGATTCATAAGTTATAGCGATGCAAACTTAGGCTATAAGACTTTTGGGACACCTTGTAATGTAAGAGTTTACATGTCTTTTCGTGCAGTCTTGTTTGCGGCTAGAGAAAAGAAATTTGATGCAAAGCGTCGACTCTGCTCTATATCCGTAGAAGTTAGCCTCCGAAGATATCAAATTTTCATTCAACCGAAATAATGTCATTTTAGCGATGAAAACATATTAGGTTGTTGCAGAAATAATGTCCGTTTTTGCAAATTTCCACTTTGGGCTATAACTTCGTTCAGTTTCGAAATTTTTGAATGCAGTCAAGACGTCAGAAACAGCAAACCTTGCGTAATTTCGCAAATGCTCATACTGATATCGCAAAGGAGAAGAAAACCATGCGTCAAGAAACTAAAAAATATTCTTTTGAAACCTCGTCTTTAGGAGCTTACAACTCCTTTCATGTTTTGTTAGTATGACTGGCAATCAGCTTATTTTGTAGCCGCAGGTCATGAGTTTACGGTATTGAAAAGACTCCAAAGAAAAAGTTCTACGAAAAGAAAAGATAAAAATTCAGAAACGTTTACTTTTTTGAGCCTATTTATTGTAGGCTTGTAAGTGCCAGATAATTTAGAAATTCTTCGCGCACTGAGTAGCTAAGTTTCTCTTCAAATATTGTAGTTAAGCTGTGCATCTCAAGCTTACAGAAAAGAACGAAACATTGGCCATTGCCTTAATTTGAGAAATTTCCGACCCATGGAATGCCAGCAGCGAGTATCTATTTCGAGGCGTCAATTTCTCAGTCCAGATATCTCCAAAACTCTACATAAGTAGGCAGAAAGTAAACAATTGTCATCCAGTAGAACTGCTTTGTTTTCAGAAGAATTCGCTTATTTACTCATGAATTGTGGCCAAGAAAGTGAAAGCTACGAGATTTCGATTTTGAGTGCGGATGTGCAAAATGCTGACGAAAGTCTCACAGATGAGGATAGAAACTTAATTTTACGAATGTTAGAAAGTACATGAAGAGAGCTTTCCAATGATATGCAGATTCTATATCGTAAAAGAAAGTTTGATGGAAAAAATTTGTTTGTAATATAGGCCTAGAAAAACGGACATTATTTTTACAACAACCTAACACATATTAGGCCCGCATGCACGTACGTCCCCGCTGGGGAGTGGAGGGAATCTGAGAGGGGATGCGTTATATCTCGCTATTCTAGATATCTTTCTTCTTCCCTTTCTATCTTAATGAATATTCTCATACCCTTATACCTGCGCATAGTGGGTGCCAAATCACTGCCATACAAGATTGGTTTTTTTGCCATTATGTGTGATCCCCTGGGGGATGGGGGAATCCCAGGAGAACACTGTCAGCCGCGCCCCTCTTTCTCGGTCCCGCATCACACGAGTTCGGTACTAAAGGGGCCTCGGCTGAGCTTTTAGCTCCGACTCCACCCGAAGGAATTCACAAAACACTTATAATTTAAATAATTTATACTTAAAAATTACAAGACAAAATATACTACTTCAAAAACTCTGGATGAAGGGGTCCTTAAGGGGCCTCAGAAAGAAAATTACAAAGAAAAGAAAATGGAAACTCCAAAGCATAGATCCGCCGTCCGATCCGCTCATGGCCAAACGGCCGGGTTACTTATACAGACAATAACAATAGCAAGCCCTCAGCCGAACAATCAGAAACAATACAGAAACAATACAACATTATCCACAGAGACATCATTAGACAAATTAAAATCTAAATTTGGCGATCAAGCTCGATGATGCACTTTCCGAGCACTTCGGCAGTTGCATTTGCAGAGTATCACAACACAATAGATCTCGTTACCGTTGCATCCATATCTGCCGCATACGTTCTGCCACTCCTCTTCCATGTATTGATGTGCTGATCTTACAACACCTCTCATTTTCAAAGTCATTTATCTTCCTGAAAACTCAATGAAAATGTTGTCAAATTGTCTGAGGATATAATATGGCACTGCTAAACAAGTTTATAGTAGAAATAAGTGAAACTTCAGGATATTAAAATCTTCGATGAAGCACGGCTCGCGAGCTAAATTATCGAAAAATTCACAATCTTCAGATTCCATTTCTCCTGTCGAAAACATGCTCACTAATGCCGTATTATATCCTAAGTACATTTCACAGCGCTTTCATTAGGTTTTTAGGAAGATAAATGACCTTGAAAATGGGAATTGATCACCTGGGGATCTCCTGAAATCACACCGAATAATGAAAATCTAATCTTGTATGGCAGTAACCCGGAATTTAGTATGCGCAGTTCTAAGGGTATGAGAGCCTTCATAAGCCAGATAGAGAAGGAAGAAGAAAGATACCTAGACTAGCGAGATATGACGCTTCCCCTCCCAGCGGGGATGTACGTGCATACGGGCCTTAGTCTTCTCGTACTCGGCCAAGATTGGAGATGATCAGAAATTTTTACTGCAGCTCAGTGCAACTCAGAAACTTTTTTCGCAGCTATGCTCAGTTGCTGAAGTATCAAGGTTATGACTGGAGACATTGCAACGAGGGCTCGGCTAGCTGCACCATGTCAAGCTGCATATCGTTTCTGGCGCAAAAAGCAAAGGGAATATCGTTTTTGTGGCCCAAAAGACACAAAAATTACGACTTTCTCCTAGTGGACTTTTCATTTTGGGGATTTTTTACGCTCGGGGTTTAAGAGGGGTGGGGGTCTTCGTACGAAATTTTCAAGATCAGGGGACTTTGTTTTAAAATTTTCCTGGTGCCAGCTCGTGCCGAGCCCTGTGCAACATCATGCTTCCACTTGTTGCGAGATTCAGCTTTATTATAACGAAAGTTTCATAGGAATTTTAATGGAAATCGCAGCTTGCAAGATGCATGACAAGTGCCTCACATAATTTAATGTTCATTTTGTTACGAATCAAAGTATCTTCTTTAAGTATACAAACTATATATTATGTAGCGTAGATGATTACGGATGTTGCAACTGGCAATAAATTACACGAAAATGTGTAGTAAGCTTCTGTAAAACGCAGCAGGATAGAATGATAAAAAAAGTGTTACCGGATATGTGCAAGATTTACAGGTCCTGATATGGAACAATCCACACCTTCCCCCTCCACTAGCATCACATATCCTGATATGGAACAAACCACACCCTACCTCACCACCAGAATCACAAATCCTGATACGGAACAGTCCACACCCTCCCACACCACTATCGGACCCACTGTTTCTCCTACTTCTACATCGGAAGAAGGTAAGAAAAAGAGTAACATGTCTTATCCACGCATGAAGTGGCTGGGCAGATTCTCTCAAAAATAAACGGGTCGAAAGAGTAATAATAGTACTCATCCTCGCAACAAAGAATACTGTTGTTCATAAGGGAAGGAATTTGACTCGAAGTGGGCTTTCCTAATAAGACGTATATCCATCGAGAGGTTTTTGAGCGCCGATTTCAAACGATTTTCGGATCTCAACGTTTACTGAGCAGAGCTAGAGGCACGTTTCTGCTTCCAAGTTGCATGGCCAAGTGGTGATGGTGCAAGAGGGATCAGAGGCCTTGCCGCCTGACTCGCAAGAGATAATTAGGAGCGCGAGCAAAGTAAAGATTGGCAGCTACCCAAATAGGCCATAACCCTTGTGGGAACGAATTTTTTAACTTTGCTCAAAGAATATTTTGAAGGCAGCGGCTTGGCAGAATAGACCTACCTCGGAATTTGACATAGATGGATAGGAGGCCCTCCAAGTGAACCAAAAGAGCAACTCCGGGCCGAAAATGTGAATTCTGCAAGCCAGGGAGGCGAGTCAAGCTCCGCTCCCCTTCCTCCTTTCGCTTCACTGACACCTTGTGCGGACGAGTATGTTCGCCGCCAGAAAACGCGCCGTCATTCGTAGCTTCGTAGGGCAGAATTTTTCTAGCGCTCTCTATCTCCTTGCTCTGCGTCTCTGACGGCAGAGAAAAACGGCTCACTCGTCCGCACCCGTCCCAAGGGGGTTTCAAAAAACGGGTTTTGCCCATTTTCGCGCCAAGGAGAGTTTATATCGTAATTCAGGGGGCTGGAATAGCCCCAAATCTGCCAGAACCCCAAAATCGAAATTCTGCCGAGCCGCTGCCTAAGAAATATATAAGACAGATTTGCAATCGGCATCTGAATTCGGTAAGTACAGAGAAGCAACTCAAAATCAACAATTGTTATAACAGAGAAGATTATTCATCTTCTTGAAGCCTCATTATAAATTTCCGTGCATTTTTTGCACTTTTTTTGCGTATATTTTTGCAAGGTAAGATTTCTACTTTGAAGAAATTTCTCAGCGTTGACTACTCACAGTCAAAGTCCATAAAATTACCTAGGAGGCTTATGTGAAGATCCTATGTTTCAAACGCTCAACATCAGAGCTTGTGATGGTGCAGGAGGTGATAGTTCTAGATGTTGAGAGCTATACTTTTTTTTTACTTCAGAAGAACTACGTTGTAATTTTGATGACTCTTTTGCGATTCAGATTGAATTAAATAGTATTTGAGAGTTTCAGAACACGATTAAAAATAAAGTTTTGCCTTTGACCATATAAGCTCAAACAAATGCCTGCAAATTCGTTCAACAAATTACTTTCAAAGGAAGCCACTTAACTTAGGTCGGGCTTTTGAAGTGAGACACATACATTTGGAATCAGTTCGGAACGCTGATTCCAAATACGCTATCCTTAGCTGCGAAGCGTTCGTCTGAAGCGAGTTATGAGCTTTTTTAGTATGTGTCATTGACATACAAGTTATGGAAAGAAGGTCTTTAGATGAAAATCTGTCCAAAAAGTGGTGGAAAATCAAAATAACATCAAATTGAGTCATTTGGCTTTGATAGGGTATAATATGCATTTGAACCACTACCTAGATGATGATACCGTAGCATGCCTAAGACGGTCAACACGCAAAATTTGCTCACGAAAAAGCTCATAACTCGCTTCAAAGGAACAAATCAGTGTTTCAGGCTGATTACAACCATATGTGTCTCATTTCAAAAGCCCGACCTAAGTTAAGTGACTTTCCTTGTTAGCAAATAACAAGAGCGCATTTTGAAATTAGCATCTCAAGGTGGTCATTATGGTATACATCTTGCGAAAGCCATTTCAAATTGGATACACTTCCCAGTTCGGTAATAAATAATGCAGCGGGCAGATACAAGTAGATTTTGAAAAAGTTTATATCTATCTCGACATTTGTTCACAGAATAGAGACTTATGATTTGAAAAAGGCATCTGTGATGAAGTGGAAAGGAGAGATGGCGATGTTTATTGAAAAGATATATAGTAAAAAGAGCATTCAATAAATCACTCACAATCACTGATTTTAGTAATCAGATTGAACGCCATTTCAACTTCAGACCTGGAGATGTTATATAGTGTCAGCAGGCGCTTTGCCAAACCAGGTTTGGATCTGTTGTAATTGTGAATGATCAGTTGTTTTCCTCGTAGTGATCTGCCCTCGCATATTCGATCGCAGCCTCAGAGTGCGCGGAAATCGAGTACTATACAAGTCGCTCGCTATTCGCCTCAGTCAGTTCTACAGTTCACTCACTTGCCTCTGTCTTTGTACTTCTTTGTCCTTAATAAAAATTCCTCTTTTTTCTCCTCCACCTCCGAAGTCGAAGACCCCGAAGAGTGTCCGAAGTTAGGACACAACAAAATCTTTATTAGCAGATCTGAGTCGGCGTGTTCGTCTTTCTCAGAGGCGAACCTGCGTGCCTAAGCAGTGGATTCGAGACTCTGAAGAAGGCAGATTAACACGCCGAAACTTCAGGTCTACTAATAAAGATCCACTGACAAACCTGATCCTGGCAAGCACGGCACTGACACTCTCATTGAGCTTAAAAAGCCAATAAAACACCCGCCCCTGTTCTTTTAGTCCTTTGTCGCATCAATGGCAAAAGATGTTGTCGAGCTGTTTGCAGTACATCAAATATCAAGTAGCTGGTGATATTGTAGATTATTCTTTGCGCAGCTTATCTTTACGCAGGAGCCTCAACTACAATAAGTAATTTGGACAAAGAAAATTTGCTCTTCGAATTCTTAAACAAACTACATGCGAAAACTTTCAAATTTTCAAAATAAATGCGCATTGAAAGTGCGAGTCTTCTTGAGAGGGCAAAATTCGAGCATTTAGCCCGATTTTCGCTAATAAATAAACAGCAAATCATTACCAATGATTTTTTGGTTTTTTGCAGTAAACTAACGTTGCGGAATTTAGCAATCAGAAAAGGAAACTCAAAATATCTTGAAAAAGACTCCAGGGGATCTGGATGAACAAGTGTGTGTAAACCTTTATTTTTGCAAACTACACTCAGCAAGCATTTAGAAAGTTGAGATTTTTTATAACAAGATAAACTCAAATCAACAAGGATGAAAGAAATCAATCTGAAACTACGCAAAAGACTTTTGACACCAGCTTATAGCAGGATATCTCTATCAAGCACAATCACTATGTCGTTGTACAGGATGACAATTGATGTCAACACTTTTCAAATAGCTGACCCGAAGATATATTCCGGAAAAATCCCAGAAACACTATGTCTTTCTCGACAAATAAAAATTGAAACTGCAGCTTGTGAGTACACCGGCTGGCTTCGAGATTATGAAAGGAATGAAATTATCAAATACCACAATAAGTTGAGAGAAGAGATTGCAAAGGGCAAGGCAGACAATTACATTGGAAAGCTGAACCCAGCGAAGAATATGTACATGCTGGTGAGACATTTTAAAATATTCATTCTTAAACCACTGTGAGCACACTACGTTCACTCATAAAGAAGTTGGCTTTGCAGAAGTACAGTTGTAAGTTGGAGAAAATAGTACAAGCTCAACTAAACAAAGAATTTTTCAACATAACCATCCCTGGTTACGGACAGAACATTGCCAGGTACGTGCTAGATCTGCATTCTCCCATGACTCCACAGCTATTGTGTCAAACCAGCCTAAAATTTTTTGAATATATACGTGCTTATGGTTGTATGGTTTACTGAAAAAAAAACAGCTTTAACACTTTACAAACTCTACTGACAAAATGGTGAAGACTTTGCGCGAGTTCATGTTTCCATGTGATGCGCTCGAATCTAGCATCATCGCTTTTGAACTCAAGTAACAGAGATGTTTTGAGGAATTTTGATAAGCACAAACTTCTGCAAATATCAGAGCTCATCTTATACAGAAAAAAAAACAGCCACGAACTCAGTATCTCCGCACACTTTCTATGATAGTTTTGTTTGTAAGGTACGCCTTGAATTATGTTGATTGGGATCACCCGATGAACATGATAAGAATTGGGCTTGAATCTTGGTCAAATCCAGTCCGCTACTATGGTCTCAGAAATAGCCTCAACAAGTATAATGATGCTCGTTTGTACTCCTTCGCCAACGTAAGTACTTGTACCGATTTCAACATCAAACAGCAGCACTTTTAGATGATTTATGCGAAAGCTTTTCGATTCGGATGCGGCTTCACTGTGAATCACGCCGTTGTTACAGTGTCATGCATCTACAATTTAATGTAAGACTTAAAACAATTGCCTGAAAAACACAATTTCTTTTATATCACTTTTCGTATAATCTAAAGCGCAAAAGGCTATAGTACGTAGTACCGTCGTAGCTATATTGATGTCATACCGATGTTAACCTTTTCTCTCGATACCCTTGTGTCCAGATACTCCGTCGCGACCCTGTCAGTACATTATGGTGAAGAGATCACTACCCGCTACTATACAATATTTCTTATAACTTATATGCCGCGCTGTCCTCGTGTACTTTTGTAATGCATGCTCATTCATCTCTCAGCATCGACTTCAAATTCTAGAAATTTCGCAAAAATTGACAAAACTGATAAATGCAATGGGTTTTTTGAAGTCGATGATGTTTCGTAATCAGAATTACCAGTTGTGTCAACTTCGAAATAGTAAAAAATCCACATCGATGTTGATCGACAATGAAAAATTCCCTATGACAACCGCCGCATCCTAAATATTAGTGCAAAGTTTTCTCAAGATTGTTTCAGAAAGAATTTTTGATTTATGATATATGTAGACATTTAGCTACATCAGGTTGGCCTGAAAGTTCTGTCAAAATAAATCAAATTCGCCCTTTTATCTTGCTTGCTCAAAAATCATAACTTGTCATAGAGACGCTCAATAAGCGCAGACTTTGCATAGTTTAGAAAAAGCAGCGAATACAACCTATTATAATGACAGCTCCGATTTTTGAGGCAATTCAGATTTTTTATGACCCTACACAAAAAATTCAAAATTTGAGTAATCTTCTTCTATCGCTTCTAAACTCAGAAATTTTACGACAAAACTCGAGCAAACCCAATATATTTATATTAACAAATAATTATATCATAGTTAATGCCGTCTGTTGTTTAGAGGAGCGTATCCCAACAATATCTTATACGAGACCGGAAGAAGGTGCAAGAAGCACAGAGATTGTACAACTTACCTTGGCTCTAGATGTGATAAAGCTACGGGGCTCTGTAAGTACAGTGGAAGACTACCAGTTCCAGGTATGGTTACGATGCCTCACATAAAAAGGAGAAAGTGAAAATTTTTAAGGTGGTGAAGAAAACACCGTGTGCGAAAATAATAGGGGAGGAACGGATCGTTTACGAGAAAAAGCACTTGAAGCCCATAACAAGAGGAGATAAGTCTGAGATTTCTTTTCAATATCGGATGGAAAATATATTGGAACAGAGGCTTCGCGAAAACAATGTCGCCATATAAATCTTATATGCGTTCATAACAAGGGCAAAAATATGGATATTAGGTGTAGAAAACATATAGAGCTCGATAAGTCTATGTTGCCACGCGGGCCTAGTCGAACTGTGTGCTACCTCAAGGTAACCAAAATCTTTATTAATATAAAACACAAGTGTTAGTCGACACACTAATGAGAGTAGAGCCCTACCAAACTTGTGTCGATGGCGCTTCTTAGGGAGAACTTGTGGTCCTCAGATTACCCCCCAACTTGTAGGAAGAACTTGTGGAAGACTTATCCGACCTAACTCACCCATCAGTATTATATCCGATCATTGTTGACTATATATGTAATCATTGTTATTTGATATGTTAATGAGCTCGACAGAATAAGGTTCTGTAGTCAAGGGAATGATATACTGATGGGGAGACTGACTTGTTCACTTGTCTGGCCTACCCCTTCCATTGTGGGACAATGGTCCTACTTAAAAAGGTTTATCAAAACAAACAATAAAACACAAACAAAACAATATATATACAATAAATTTAATCATATTTTTCTTCAACTTTAAGGTCGCTTTAGCGACATTAGGCTAAGCCAATTAATATTTAAAATAGAAAATTTTTCCCACGTTAGCAGCAGGAGTATTACATAACACACGATGAGTTTGCAAAAAGCTGGGCGGCTAGTTATCACCAAGTTTACTGATGAATCAACTCCAAAATGCATTATATGATTGCACAAAACTTCAAAACTAATCCAGTGAAAGGGTATGCTTGAAGATAATTGTTACGTCGCTGATCTAACTTTCTAGGGTACCGCTGCGATTTCCTAAAGCACTCATCACATGCAAACACCACAGAATAATCAGCGCAGTGACAAATCATTATTAGAATTTCGGGAGTTCTCTGCTCGTAAAATCTAAGCATATAGTTATATCCAAAGTGATCCGTTTCAGGTCAACCAGATTTTTCAATGATTTTTTTTCATTTCGTCCATGAATGGCTAAAAGCATACACTAAATGGCTTTTACTGATAAGTTTGAGATTTCCGTCAGAACTGCGCAACATAAAAACAAAATATATCGACCAGTGGCGTACCGAGGGGGGGGGGGGCGAGGGGGAGGCCCCCCCCCGAGAACGGGTCGCGAAATTTTTGAAAGTTACTTATATGGGTTATAAAATTGTGCAAATGACTTGTCTGCACTTGTAAATAATTAAAATAATTTTTAAAATTTTTTAAAAATTCATTTTAGCTTTATAAAAAAAATTTTTTCGGGGGCGTGGCTGATGCCACGCCCCCTTTTTCCAGATTTTAGGGGTCGGGGACCCGCAGAAATTTTGAGAAGCACCCCAAAAATTTTTTCGAAGTGCGTGGCTAACGCCACGCACCTTCATTAGAAAAAATTTTTTGTCGCGCCCCCCCCCCCCCGAGCCGAAATCCTGGGTACGCCACTGATATCGACCTATACATAAATGATCGTAGAAGGTTGGCGGACAAGGAAAACGCGCGCTGATGCTTTTCACACTCCACCTACAAGCTTCCTCAAATTGGTCCACGATTTCTCAACAACGCCGAAAACTGATTTCTTGTAGATTCCAAACACATTGCTATCATCTTTTTTATAAGATAAGAAATCAAAGCTGGTTTGGAAAACCTTATTAGTATTTCCTGCGAGTGGGGGTCTAGAGGTCAACATTTTTGTCTAACTCCGCTGATTATCCGAGTGATCGCGAGGTTGCTATGAAAACGATGTCTGCTCACCGAAAAATGCACCACCGCTTCTCAAACATCGTTTCTTACTTTCTGCAATCGAACGAATTCCTGCTTCTTCTGCGAAATAAGAATCAACAGGCATCGCAAAAACCCGTAATCGCTTCGGCCCGTAAGCAAAACGCGAGGAATCCGCCGTCAGGGGCGATTGTCTATATGCATAAATGATAGGAACCTAGGTGCGAGAGGTCTGCCAGTTCAAAAAATTTTTAAGGGTTTGCTTGCCATGGGTCAAGTGCACTCCACGTCTTGTGACCCAAAATGGAATTTACCTACGGCATCTTACATGCGTACATTGGTAGGACGAATGCATTGCAGTGTTCACATTGTGGCCACAATTTTATAATTTGAAGAAATACGACTGCTATGAGGAATCTGAAGCAATCAAATACGCGAAAACATGTTCTTTCAAAGAATCCGAAGACAAAGAGAATGTGTTTGTATACCCGATACCAAATGTCGATCCAGTCATTGCTATCGAAGCTGTAAGTCTCTTGTCAGTCTACAAACGCACTCACATTGGAATTTTTTTCATGCATGGATAGAAATACTTTAAGGCGACTGAGCATTGGTGGTCACAAGTCAATGCTAGATGTCCGTTTGTAAACAATAATACCACTTTTGTCGACGAAATGATGGAAGAAGCCACTGACCAAACAGCGTTTTCGAAGGTAATAATTTGGCAAATTTCGCTCACTTGAAAATCAAGCAAGGACGCTTTCAGATGGCATGGGCTGATACCGCATTTATCGGTTGTGCTACACAAACTTGTTTTACTTCCACTTTTGTCGTATGTCGCTATAGTCCAGCGTAAGTACTGACCTCTTGTAATATGATAGATTTTACATTATTCAGATTTTTGCAGAGGTTTTAACACCATCGGTGCAAAGGTGTATATGCCTGGACAACCGTGTAGCAATTGTACAGGATTTGGACATTGCATAAAATCTGAAGGAATGTGCACTTTTCCATTTCCATAAAAACGGCAAATTATGAAATTCAGTGGAAAAAACTGCACTCCTCAGAAATAAAATCGAATTTGCTATTGTTTTTGTGTTACAATATCATCAATGCGTAAAGTGATGAAGCAGAATGTCGTCGTATGTAACAGTGTTGAATCCACAAGACCATGGCAGACTTGTAGTTTCTTCCTACGCATGCATTTTTAAGCGTCAAAAAATTCTAAAAATAGTTTTAGTTTTAAACATTTTGATCTGGGCAGCCCCTTCAAACGAACTTGTGCAATTTTGTTACTGCAAACGCAAATTTGACTGTCTAAGCCATGCGCCAGCAAATGTGACACTTGTTTTTGCTTGGATGGATTTGTTCGGGGAAAGGCAGTCTGATATATGAACGCCCCTTTATGAGTAATTCGAATCATCTGATGTTCTAGCTTGTGCACGATATTGAAAGAAGAGAACTAGTGAAAGAAATAAGCTTCTATTTGTAGGTCTGCTGTGTGAGTCAGAAGTCGTATTCAAACAATCTTTTGGCAGAAAATCATTTTCAGAATATTTATTTATTTGTTATCTACACGAGAAGTGTGCCAAAAAACTTGCAAAAAAAACTCTCGAAGCAAGGTTCTTGAAAACAAAAACGCCAACATGAAGTATGCACAGTAACATTTGCTTTTAAAATTCATTCGTCTTCCGTCGGGCTATACGTCGTTGTATAATATGTACGTTTTTAGCCAAAATGCTACTTTCTCCAGTGAATTAGAAAAAGAGTTTATTATGGCTTGTATGATACAAAAAGTTACTTGAAGGAAAAATGAGCTGCTCTTTAACGTAAATTTGAAAAACTCCACTATTACATTACCTCATCTCATTTCACGATGAATTAGGTTCATAGCCAGCAAGACATTTTAGGAGAAATTTTACACCACATTGAAGCTACATCATCTGCAGCTACGGAGCAAAATCGACACACTCTTTTCCCCTACTTTCCAGAACGAGATAGAAAAAGCAAAGTGATAATTTTTTCATAACTTTTGGGTTCAAGTTTGTAGACTGAAAAGTTAATGCTAAACCTTGTTTTATTAGGTTGTCCCGAAAGTTTCGTCGGTTTTTTCTATCGCTCACTAAAACCCAAAGAACACCAAACATGGAAGGTCTAGGTATCATTTAGAACAGATTTTCATCCTCTTTCATACTGGTATATTTTCTCTCTGGTCTACTCTGTCTTCGCAATGTTATCGCCATGGATTTTTGAGCAGCTCAACAGTAACGCCAAATCTTTTCTGAATTTTAAAAATTTTTCTCCTGCTACTTTCAAAAAGCGCTACTAACTGTTATGTACATAGAGCCATTCTTCGGCTACATTATACTTATTTTAGATTACATGGGTCACGCTCATCAAGTCCTAAATAATTATTTATTAAAAAAACCACCGCTTTTTGATTACGTATACCACGTAAAATCACAGAAAATTCCAAAAAGCTGCTTTTTCAAAACAAATCAAACTTGGATGTGTTTTATAAATAATGTTTATTAGCATTCAAGTTTCAACTCGCAAATATTCCAGGAGCTTTCATGTTTTTGCCGCAGTTGCGTGTTCCATGGTTTTGCCAGAAACCGAGACCTCCGAAAAAAATAATTCTTTGAAGCTAGAAACAGCAAATTAGGAGAATCTAAAAATATTACCGTATAGCCCGAGAATTGGTCTATTTGTGCCATGCTTAGTCCTTCCCAAAACTATGGAATAAAATTTTTAAAAATTAGCCTAACTTTGAGCAGATAAAAACGACGAGTGAAGATTTGTGGCAATTATCAAAAAAACCATACAGGATCTTGGCTCCTAAATGTAATCATAAGAAAGAGAAGGAAAAGCTGCATCGAAAGCATGTTGAAACTCATTCAGGTCTTCATTGTGCGCGGTTTTATAGTGGTTTGAAAAAACCGACAAAACTTTCGGGACAACCTAATATTAATTGAAAACTCGAAAGACCGAGAATTTTAGGCCATTCTCTTTCTTTCTCCGCGGCCTATCGTCAATTAAGATACGGTCAATTCGACTCTCGTAACGTTGGAGATTCTCCCTTTACAGCTAGTGAAGGGCTCGCGCACGTATCAGTCAAGTGAAAAGGTAGATTGTACTTAATCCCACTCAAAATTTACTTCATTTAATAATACTTCATGTACATTCTTTCCGTGTTAAAGAGTTGCTTATTACTTGTAATAAATTCAACTGAATGTCACGGCTTGCAAGTAGAAATAAGCAACTCTCAAAGACCTCAGAGACAAAAAGTGCCACTAGCTCATCCAAGTTAACCGAGTCAGTGCCTACGCATTTGTCGATGTTTTAATTGCTGACTTGATTCACAGTGATTTTTTAAACGACAACCAAAAAACAAGTTATCCAAGGTTGTGTGATTTTACAAGTTTGTCTGATGGTGAGGAACCTGCAAGGCGAACTACAGTTTTTGCCGAACACATCTGTTTAAGATTCACTTGTAGATTTATCACGAAGTAATCACCTTTTACATCATAACTCCTCCTCTATCAAGGCTTGAGAAGTTTTGGGTTACAACTTTAATGCGCGCAAGCCATCTGAGAGTATTTGCGAGTTTCCGTAATTATTAGGTTGGCTCGAAAGTTCTTGCGTAATTCAAACAAAATTCAATAACTTTTCAATACCTAAACCTTAATTCACACTCTTGTTCTTCAAAAATATTAGAAGGCCTACGCTCCATGATGGAAGTTCAAGCGCATCCATGAGCTCCCCGAGAACGAAGCTCTCAAGTGGGGCTTCAAATTTTGCGATTTTGAGTTTGGTTCCAGAAAATCGCAGAGAACCGCTAGCTAGCCGAAAAAAATCTGTAGAAATTACTTACACAGCAGAAGTCCAAACGTTATTTTAGCAGGCTTTGATCTCGTATGGAAATGCGAAAACAAAAAATTTGTGGAATTTGTCATTTTACAGGATAAATCCCCTTATCGCTGTACTTTTCCCACAAAAACACAGTTTGCAACCAGAAATACGACATAGTGGCTATTTAGAACCTTGCGACGTTTTTTGGAATGTGAAAAGTGTTTTCGCTAAAAAACTGCGGTAATGAGGGGATTTTTTCTGCAAAATGACATATTTAAGGAACTTCTTGTTTTTGCTTCACCGTACAAGAACAAAGCCTTCCAAAGTAACATATGGACTTCTGCTGTAAGTAATTAGTAATTTTTACAGATTTTTTTCGGCTAGCGACACTCTGCGATTTTCTGGCACCAAACTCAAAATCCCAGATTTTGAAGTCCCATATTTGAGATTCGTTCTCGATGTCTAGCTCATGTAATCTTGCAATTAAACGTCCATCATGGAGCGCAAGCTTTTTAATATTTTTAGAGCACAAGATTGTAAATCTAGGTTTAGGTATTGAAAAGTTATTGAATTTTGTTTGAATTACGCAAGAACTTTCGAGCCAACCTAATATGTTGGAGTGGTTCTAAACTTATTCCAGAAAGAGTTTACATTTTTGGTGATTTTCACATCCACTAATACACATCAAGAATTTTTTTAGTAATGACAGACATTATTGTTCCTATTCAATACTCCTACATGTAGAGTATCTGTACACTAACAATGTCTTCGCTCCTCTTGAAATAGCAACAGCACAGGAGATTGAGTTTGTTAGAGCTTTCTTCTCCTTTAAAGCCAGAAAAACGTACGCAATCAAGTTCTAGAATATAAATACAATACAAATACCGTAATTTTAATTCTGTAAACAAAATGTGGAATTTTCAAATCTTGATAATCCGTTGGCAAATTTTTCTTGCAAGGAAATGATGGCAATGATTACATGAGCTTAAAATTTTCTGCAAGCCACGCTCTTATCGGACTAGTCATATGTTTTTAGAAGATTAGCAAGATAACAAAAAGGAGAAAACATAATCGGTCTGAGAAACACACATGAGTAATGTAATCCATGTTTGCCTGGGCTTATAGAACATCATTGATAAAACATAAAATCAGAGAAACTTGATGAAGCATAAATGAATGTAAAAGTATAAGCTGAGTTTTCTTGTGGGGATGAGACATCCAAAATGTCATCTTGACTACAAAATGCTGCAAGCATTATGCTTGAAATTTGGCATTGATCAGGAACTCGGCAAAATTATTTGCATAAGCAAACGATACTGCGCGAAAAATCCAGGACGTGGTAGACATCAATGCTTGCTACTCTTGAATGATTACCCTAATACTAATTATTAAGAATTAAAGCACTTCTATTGAAGTACCAGCGGTGTTTCAACTTTTTGATTGTTCTTGCTCTTTAGCAAGTATCAATCTGCTCGAGTGTTTGGTTACTAAGTTTTTATCGGTTCACAGCGTGGAGCAGGGTCCGATTTAAAAAAAATAAACTAATAAACTTCCAAAAAAGCTTTATAACAACACCTTGTTGTAAAGGCTGCGAGGAATCATTTGCTTGCACGTTATATTAAGTTGTCCCAAAAGTAAACTCTATTTTTGAGTAAATTTAGCTGTTTTTGTTTTCCTAACAGACTTGGGGTATCACTCGAAACGGAGCAAGCTCTACAAAAATACCACCAAAGATTTACCTAAGTGTTAATCTAAGTAAAACCTGAAGCCAAAAATCATAACTGTTCAGCTTCCCTAAAAATTGAGCTCCTTCCGGAAAAATTCTACGAACTTGCAACGTGTTCTTTATAAGACGCAAAGTAGTACCCAAAAATGTACTTGGTGGAATTTTCCGGGGCTCAAAAATGAGAAACAAAGAAGGTCCCAAAATAACAAAATGTCACTTTTTTCGGGTTTTTCAAGTAAAGCTTGGTATTTCTCGATCATAAAAGCATATGCAGGGGTAGGGGTAAAGTTCTAAATTCTTGTTGTTAGTAAGACTTGTGATGTATGTGATGTATAATGACATGTGTGGGAGGGGCTAGAGGGGGGGGGGGGGAAGTTTGCCTTTTGGACTATCTTTTTTTCTCGCTTTCTATGCTCTGAAAAAATCCAGTAAAGGCAGATTTGAGTATTGAAGGTCCGCAGGGCTCTTTCACGTAAAAATCCAGTTTGTCGGTAAAACATTCTTTCGATTTTGGCTTCAAACTTCCCATGAATTGCGATTTAGGCGGATCTTCAGTGGTCATCTTGTAGAACTTGATCTGCTCTATCGAATGATGCCCTAAGTTAGTTAGTTTATAAAGTAGGTTATACATATTTGGCGCTTGGTCACAGACGGACTAAAACCAATTTATTCGTTGCTCACAGCTCCTCCTTACTACATTGAAGCACTTTCAACTACGACGTATGTTACGACAACGTACCAAAATTACTAACTTCGAAAGTTGTTAAAGCTTTCCAAAAATTCCGCCCTCATCGTTTTTCAGTTTAAAGCATTCTGATTGGAGGTTCTTACAAGGTTCAACATTTATAATCACTGTTTGATCAAAATGCTTTTTTTGCAAGTTTATGCGTTATCAGATACTTTGCAGGTCTTATGCACTTTAAACACCTCTTTGAAACTAGAAAAACTTAAATTCAAATGTTCAGATGTATAAAAGCAGGCAAGTCATTTTAGGGCAGGGAAAACTAAATGGAGCCGTTAGCATTGGTAGGTAGACTTGTATACCTTTATTTTATTCGCAAATTGTTACTTCAGATTACCTCATTGCTCTTGCTTGTTTCTGTGACGGAGGGTGCGAATACGACTTCACCAGCGCCGCCGACACCCCCTAAAGGTTGGCTAAATACCTAAAAGAAAACACACGCTATACTGAAGTAGTCTTACATGATGCAGCTCAAAGAAACAATAGTATTCTAGCCCATGCCGAGATTCGCAGGACCATTTTCATCAAATTTAAGGTCTCTGTGAGAGATCATGCTACACAGAATCGCTACTGATTAAAGGCAGTGGCTCGGGATAACTGCGACTGCGGGCTTCACGACTACATGGCCTTCTGGACCAGCTGAGTCGGGTACTGCGCTTGAAAGGTCAAAAAAGTGCTTCTTTGGCGTTTCGGGGCCTAGACTGCTGGAGGGGCGGGGCGAGGGATTCACCCCAAAATGAGCAACCGGCTGCAGGAGACTGTAACTCCACCCATTTTGGCGGCAAACTGTATCGCGATGGCTGCCTAGGCTGATCAGCCAACTGCCGCCAAATTAAGTGGAGTTACAGTCTCCCTCAGCCAGTTGCTCATTTTGAGGTGAATCCCTCGCCCCGCCCCTCCATCAATCTCCAAGGCCCCGAAACGCCAAAAAAGCACTTTTTTGACCTTTCAAGCGCAGTACCGGACTTACAGGGAAAGGAAGGTTAGTCGAAGTGGCCCTTTGAGATGAGATGTACACTGTCTTGTAAAGCTTGGAATGCTGATTCCAAATCTATCTTTGCTACCTGCTGCGGGCTTCTGTGCGAGAAATTATGAAGATTTTCGTGAGTAAAAATTTGAGCGCAAGGCTAGTATAAAATCAGTCATAATCTTCTCCTAACGTTGAAATGAGGCAGCAGCGAGTTGGTATATTTGGACCAAGAATATTTGTTCCATCTAATGACCCGACTACAAGTTAAGCCAGTTAAGCCCTAGGTTTACACTAATTCTGCAATTAACTTTTCACTAACAAAACCTTCACAACTCCTCGTCCAGAAGCCCACAGCAGATAGCGAAGTCAGATTTGGAATCAGCGTTTTAAGCTCTACAAGGAAACGTACATCTCATTTTAAAAGGCCACTTCAACTAACCTTCTTTCCTTTGTCAGCTGGTCCAGAAGGCCATGTAGTCGTGAAAAGCCCGTAGCCGAACATTTCCTAAGCCACTGCCTTTAAGGTGGTTTATTGAATGAGACAGGTAGTGCCAAGTGTATCAATCACCAATAGTTGAATGTTTAGGAAATATGGCAACGGTCTCTGCAAAAATTCTTTACGAGATTCTGGTGACAATAGTGCAAAGCACGGATCGGCACAGGTGGCTCGCAAGCGCTAGATATCGTTTCTGGGACAAAAAGCAAAGGGGTGTCGTTTTTGACGCCAACAAGACACAAAAATTATGACGTTTTTTAAGTCGATTTTTCTTCTTTTTTTTTGACGATCTTTTAGGTTTAAGGTTTAGAGTCAAAGGGACTTCTTGAAAAGCCGCGAACGTCAAGGGGACTTCGTTTTTTTTATTTTCCAAAAGCCACCTCGTGCCGAGCCTTGGTGCAAAGAGGGCCAGGCATACGTCAAACAGTTTCTAGCCTTGCATTTCTCCCAACAAAAATATGCATCACGGTTGTGATAGTAACCAGTTCATTGCATGCCGATCATCTCGCACCTGGGCTGTGGCAGTTTTCCGACACGACTTCGAGACTAATCACCCCTTGATTCGACTGGCTTGCCGGCTAGAAGGCGGGGCTTCGTGACCTGATTAAGGCTAAATAATGATCAGGGAGCACGCGCGCGAGAGAGACACAGACTGGTAGCGGGCGGAGCGGCCTTACAAGGGAATGGTCAGAAGTCGAAGTGGTCAAACCAAACAAGCTGTATATCATTCGATGCAGTATAAAACGCTGACTCCGAATCTGTCTTCCTTATCTGCTTATCGCTTCAGTGGAAGGAGCTACAAGCGGTTTTATTGTGAAATCACACATAAAAACAGCGAAATTGAGCACATTGTTGCGCTTTTAGCTCAGCTTCTGACTTTAAAAATTTGAAGTAAGCTAGCTGCATGTTTTGGCCCAGCATTAAGGCGAACGTGGCTCTGTACGACTAAATTTTCAATTTCACGCATAATTTCTTAGCAAAATACTTTCACCCTCTGTGCCTGATACTGCAGCACAATAAATTAAGCGAGAAATCTACTGTCTGTAAAAATGGAGCCCTGGTATTCTACGACTGTGGCCGCTACCTTGTCAAACTTGATTTTGCTCTACACTTCGTCAGTTGATATTCAGTTCTCATGTCAATGAGCAGCATCCGTGGCATGAGACTTCGAGCTCAAGCAAACTTTGTTTCCTTTGAAATTCTGGGACATATAGTCAGGAGTTACCGCCGAACGAAGGTGCATTAGCATCTCCAATCAAACGGTTATATCGTCGTGAATCCTGCGCATGATGCACCTAATGGTATGAACCGGATTTCTGACCCTGCCTGCTTCTTCGTACTGCAATAGACCTTACCTGTCAGGCGCTGGCTGCATTTTAAAGACAACTTAGCAGAGTTACAGCAAATGAAATTGGCTGAAGCTGAGCTTTCGAGATGAGGAACCTTGCGACTTGGCATGAGCATTCAACTATTTTAGCTGAAAGAGCTGTTTGGTTTTGCAGCGCTAAGTATGCAATCATTCTCCTGGAGCAATGACGATGGTCACTCATGTGTACTTATATGTCAAAAATGCTACGATACATAGCCTGCATATGAGGGACTTTCGCGGAGACCTTGATACAGTCGAGTAGATTTCCTGCTTAATATAGTGTTCCTGCAGACGCGACAACGCTGGGGCGTCAATAATTGCCTGACGAGCTCCCGAGCCAGTGTTTTCCAATGTTTTCTTTGCTTATTCTATGCTTTCTAGGTGATTCGCAGCTGATAAAGAAGAAGAGGGTAAGTTAAAGAGTAGTTTCTGTTTTCTGAGAAGTTCTTTCATCGCATATTCACAGATATCCACGTGGAAGCAGTTCGCGTCAGCTTCTTGTCTATTTTTTTTGTCACTTCATGTCTCTTTCTTCTTGTGAGGTACTTCTTTGAACGCTAGTGGGTTTTTACGATTGACTTATTGTCTTTATCACATGAAGTAGTTGATTAAAATGCTATTTCTTATGGATGAAAGCCGAAGTTGCTGCAAGACAAGCCAACTTGCATTCAAAGAAACGCCTCACAAGTAGGAGGAAGATTCAAAAGAAGAAGTGACAGAAGAAAAGGAAATGACAAAAAAAATAGACAAGAAGCTGACGCGAAATGCCTCCACGTGGATACCTGTGAATATGCGATAACAGAACTTCTCAGAAAACAGAAACTACTCTTTAACTTACCCTTTTCCTCTTGACCAGCAACGAATCAACTAAAAAGCATGAAATAAGCAAAGAAAACACTGAAAAACACTGGCGCGGGAACTCGCAAGGCATTTATTGACGCCCCAGCGTTGTCGCGTCTGCAGGGACACTATATTAAGCAGGAAATCTACTCGACTGTAATTCACAATCAGCAGTCGGCTTTGCATCATATTTGAATAATTCGAATACGAATTTCACTACGGACTCGACTGAAATAAAATTCATTCGAAATTCGGTTTTGATTATTCGAGTTTTTGGATTTCACTCGAGCCGTTTTTGATTATTCAAGTTTCGAATTTTATCCGAATATGGAAGACTGCGACTTTAGAATCTCGAATGCTAATGTATTCGAATGTTTTATTCGAATGATAGTTATTCGATTAGGACCCAGGTGTACTTGTTGAAGATGAGAAAGATTTGTCAAAATAATAAGGTAGTAGACCTGAAAATTGATGAAGAATATAGTAGACTGTGAAGAATAAAAACATACTTACAGTATGCGGCAACAGTACACCATTTACTGACCTGGAACGGAACACCATTCTCAACTACCACAACGATCTGAGAGCAAAAATTGCTAAAGGTGAAGCTAAAAACTACAAGGGTATACTCCCTTCAGCGAAAAATATGTACAAACTCGTGAGTTTCCTTTACAAGGCATAGTTTGTCTCCCTCAAAGCTAGATACTCTCATGATAGCAAAATGTTATTATGCTTAATCACACTATATAGAAATACGATTGCAAGATGGAAGGAAAAGTACAGGCCGAACTTGATAAGAACCTTACGCGCATTACCTTTGATAATGGTTATGGACAAAATGTTGCCAGGTACGTTATGTTGCATCTCCCTTCTTGAGCGAAATCTTAGGGCCGCATGTATTAACATCCCCGCTGGGCGGGGATCACAGCTTAAAAGAAAGCTACATGTGAGTATTCCTACCATCCTCCATTATGAACATACTGAACAGGAGCAGGAAGCTATATAAGCCGCAATTTCTAGCTTTCTGTATTATCCTCTGATGATCCCCAGCTGCCGACCGTCTTTTCTTTAAAGTCATTTTTGTTTTTTCGGAGTCAACAAAAACATTCCAAAGTAGTGCTGTTTATCTAACCCCATAGAGCTAATCAGGTTTCTGGTAAGGACGAGTGATGTTTCGAAGTCATGAAATTTGCGATGGACCACAAGTCGAAAAGCTGGTGTTTAACGAAAAATCGATATTCCGGGAACTCATTTGTTCTCAACAACAACATGTTTATCACTGTTGGATTAGATCATCAGTACACTTTTGGAAGGTTTTTTAACTTCGAAGGAAGAAAAATGGCTTTGAAGAAAAGACAATCGGCCGCCGAGAATCATCAGGGGATCACACGAAAAGCTGGAAAATGTGGCTTGCAGCTTCTGGCTCCTGTTCAGTATGTTTGGAGTGAAGAGTGGTGGGAATACCTACGGATGGGTAGACAGCTTGAAGTTCACATAACTGGAGCTTCAGGATATGAAACTTTCTTTTAAGCTGCGATCCCCTCCCCAGCGGGGATGTTAATGATGCATCTTTAGTGAGGTAGCATGATACGTTAGATGACTGCGACATATAACCTCCAACACAAAAAGAAAATATATATATTTCTACAAAAGACCTGTAAAAAATTTGCTTCACTCTTCTGTTGCTTTAGAAACTCACATGCGAATTGGTTTAACAGCGAATCGGCCCGCTTTCACTCACTATCATTTTTGAACGCAAAATAAATTTTTTAAGATTCACAAGAACCAATAGAAGCAATGATATACTGCACGCATTGGAGTTGTGGTCCAGTCCTGTGCTCTACTACGGCATCAAAAACGAAGTGAACAGATACGAAGATGATCGTCTCTACACATTCGCGAATGTAAGTGCATCTATCTTGGGTTTATGACAACTAAAAGCTTCCAGATGATTTATGCAAAAACGTTACGATTTGGATGTGGATGCAAGAATGAAAGCGAAATGGTTATAATATCATGCATTTACAATTTGATGTGAGTTCATGACATTTTCAGACAACTGACCGGAACTTCCGCAGAACGTTTGGGAAAGTTCCGCCGGTCACCTGCGGAAGTTCCGTAAACGTGCTGCGGAAGTTCCCGAATTAGGTGCTGCGGAAATTCCGAAGAATGCGAACTACAACAGCAAAAGAGAGCACCGAATTAAAATTTGAACCTTACTCTATTGACTGTAAGACTCACCTACTATCCTCTGCACTACGACTGACATATTCGATAATGCGTAGTTGTTGGCGAGGCAACATCATATTAGACAACATATTCAAAACCCTGCGGAAGTACTGACATGTCAAAGTGCTGCGGAACCGCTGGCATTTCTCGAAAGTTCCGCATCGCTTTGTATAAAGCCCCGCGGAAGTTCCTGCATCCAGTCTAACGTGAAAATTCTGCGGAAGTTCTCATTTTCAACGTTTTCACTTTTGCAATAGTAAACAAAATCCTGCGGAACCGCTGCAAATTTTGCTTGCAGTTTTGGCGAATTGTCTGAGTTGATAATGGTACAAGTTTTCTGAAAACCATTTTGAACTGCATGGCACTTTTAGAGGTGGCTATTCGAAGAATATCCTATACGAGAAAGGAGAAAAGTGCAAGAAAGCAAAAGATTGCACAACGTACCCCGCGTCCAAATGTGAGAAAGCTACAGGTCTCTGCAAGTACCCAGGTCCACCTCCAAAACCAGGTCAATACAAAAGAATGCTCAAAAATAATTTGCACTGACTCAAAAAATATGACTTGTAATTATTCCAGATGAAGGAGAGAATACCAAATGCAGAGGTAACAAAGGAGTGACAGATCGTTTGCGCGAAAAAGCCGTAGAAGCGCATAACATCAGAAGGTACTTTATATACTAACTAGCTGGCTTACCCGGCTCCGCCGTATCCGGACCAAACTTGGCACACATACACTTCGGGCCCCGGCGGGTGTCACAGTCCACTTTTCGTTATCGATCGATGTCGATTTTACCGATTTTTATCGATTTTTTCGCAGAGTTCACCTACAGGGCTAGGAGTTGGCACAGGGGGGAAGTGAGCATGGGAATTCTGAATACAATATTAGTTTTCAGAATTATCGGTTACTTTTATTGATTTTCTCGATTTTTTGTAAATTTTGACATGCGAGGCTGAGATTTTGCACAGGGGGGTAATCGAGCATGCTGATTACGAACACAATATTAGTTTCCAGGATCGTCCATTACTTTTATCGATTTTATCGATTTTTTTGTAAAGTTTGACCTGCGGGGCTGGGAGTTTGCACAGTGGGGTAATCGAGCATGCTGATTACGATTACAATATTAGTTTTCAAGATCGTCCATTACTTTTATCGATTTTATCGATTTTTTGAAAATTTGAGCTAGGGGGCTGGAATTTGGCACAGGGGTGTAATCGAGCATGCTGATCACCCCCCTTGGGGATGATCAGCATGCTCGAATACCCCCCTATGCCAACTCCCAGCCCCCTAGCTCCAACTTTGCAAAAAATCGATAAAATCGATAAAAGTAATCGATAATCCCGAAAACCAATATTGTATTCGGAATCCCCATGCTCGATTACCCCCCTGTGCGAACTCCCAGCCCCGTAGCTCAAACTTTGCAAAAAAATCGATAAAATCGATAAAAGTAATCGATAATCCTGAAAACCAATATTGTATTCGGAATCCCCATGCTCGATTACCCCCCTGTGCCAACTCCCAGCCCCGTAGCTCAAACTTTGCAAAAAAATCGATAAAATCGATAAAAGTAATCGATAATCCTGAAAACCAATATTGTATTCGGAATCCCCATGCTCGATTACCCCCCTGTGCCAACTCCCAGCCCCGTAGGTGAACTCAGCAAAAAAATCGATAAAAATCGATAAAATCGATATCGATCGATGACGAAAAGTAGCCTATGACACCCGCCGGGGCCCGTAGTGTATGTGTGCCAAGTTTGGTCCGGATCGGTTCAGAAATGGAATTTTCTATTCGGAACATACGTACACACATACATACATACAGACAGACATACATACATACATACAAACAGACATTCAGCTTTATATATAAGATCAGCTAAATCAACTGCTGATCTTTCGCCACCTTCACCTTTCTTTTTCTTAACAATATCAAAACATGGCCTCGATCATAAATGAAGTATCGAGTCATTCCATTGCTATGATATTTGGAAAACTTTCCATTTGCTATTTGGAACTTGATCGAAATGGTGCTGTGTTTTAGAATTGCCGCTTTTCTACAGAACCTAGTTGATTTTAACTACTCAAATCTCGTGTTTTCAAAGTCAGAGATAACTGTATGAAGGAGGACTAGCTCCAAAAATCAAAATGGTCCGCAGGAGAGAACAGTCGAAGAGTGTGTAATTTTTAAGTTTCCAGATTGTCGAAAAGTTGCTGCCCGATGCAAAATGATCAAAAATTTTACACAAATGTTATGATTGAGATTTTAAGACAATTTGTCATTTTTGAATAGGTTCTATTGTAAAAAAAAATTTGCTCTGTCGTTAGCGGTTTGCGAACTAAAATGATAGTGAAGGCATCAGCTAATGAAAGCAATGTATGCGAACTTTTGCACCTATTCGATTTTTTGCACTTCTTTCAAAACTTTGTCATCAAAAGAAAGAGCGATTTTGTGCCGAGTACACTTTAGATCTTACTTGCTTTTCTGCGAAAAACAACGTCCACTAAAATCTAACGAAACAAGAAAAAACTATCTACTACTTAGTAGTTTAATCACGGTAATTCTAAATGCTTTGAAAACCGTTGAGAACGAATAGAGAATAATATTAATAGTCGATTCTAAAGTGACCGTATGTTTTAGAAGCTATCTTGCTTTGGGACAGGTACAAAATGGCCCAGATTCAAGGAAGTTACCTACCGCCTCTTATATGCCAAGAATGGTAACTATTACAATTCTATAGACTCTATCAAATAAATTGTATATCATAGATTTACGACTGTGAAGTTGAGTTAGGAGCCATTCAACACGTCAACAAGTGTACACTTACCAAATCTTCTGAAGGTGAAAGATCCGGTCTTGGGGAAAATGTATTCGTTTACCCCATTCCAAACATGGATTCAGTGACTGCTATTGAGGCTGTATGTCCCTCACTCTTATCTTACCAAGTGCTTTGATGCCTCAAACTGATTCTTTTTTAGGCAATAGAATCCTGGTGGTCACAATGTTTGTATGAATCGATCAGAACAGATCTGAAGTTTGTAGCAGATTTCAAAAATAAAGTCATCGATCAGACTGGTTTCACACAGGTAGGTTAACTACCGTTCATGAAAGCTCAGAAGGTTTTCTTCGTGATTCTTCTATCTACCTTCTGCTACTGTTTAAGTGATGCTTACAATAATTTATTTCAGATGGCCTGGGGAAAAAGCGTCAAGTTGGGATGTGCTGTGCGGACCTGCCATACATCTACTTTTGTAGTATGCCGCTATAGCCCAGCGTAAGTTGGCTCACTTATGTTTTGAATAGACTACTAGGTTGTCCCAAAAGTAAGCCATATTTCTGAATAAATCAGACTGCTTTTGTTCTCCAGATGTAGGGTGACATTCGATAGAGCGGATCAAGCTCTACAGAACGAACGCTAAAAATCCGCTTAAGTCGTAATGCAGGTAAATTTGGAGCAAAAATCGAAAAAATTTCTCATCTGAAAACTGGATTTTTAAAAAAAAAATTCTACGGATTTCAAACTTGGTCACTATACAGCAGACACATAGTCATATTCAAATGCGTCTTTGATGGATTTTTTCCTCGATAAGAAAGCGAGAAAATGAGATAGTCTAAAAACGAAAACCTCCGCCTTCAGCCCTTCCCACATATGTCGTTGTATAGTACATATATTAGTACAGTTATGACTTTGGAATGTGAAAATTCTCGACGAACTCAGCGACTTTGCGTTTTTCGCCGACTTCGCCGAATTCGCCAACATCGGCGAATTCGCCGAGAATTTTCACATTCCACTGCCATAACTGTAAGTGAAATCCTGAAATTTTACGTGCGTTTGTGCTTTGGTAATTGAGATATACCACTTAACGTTGAAAAACCCGAAAAAGTGACATTTTTGCATTTTCGAGCTATTTTAATTGAGTCCCGGACGCCAAATACGATTCTGGGTAGTATTATGTGTCTATTGTAATGACCAGGCAGGATGTTCGTAGGAATTTTCTAGAAGGAGATTCGATTTTTAAAGTAGTCGAAGATTTTAATTTTTGCATCCAAATTTTACATGGGTCACAACTTAGACGGATCTTTGGAAGCCATATTGTAGAGATTGCTTCGCGTTATCAAATGGTGGCGTAAGCCTGCTAGGAAAACAAAAGTATTTTAATTTATCTAAAAATACTTTACTTTTGAGGCAACCTATTAGTAAAAAGATAGAAAAGTGGAGAGGTTGACTGACCATACACACATGTCATAGTTCCCAACAAGAAGGGTGGTTCTTTTTCACAGCCTTTATTATTGCTAAAAGCTCAAATTGTTGTGTCAAGCGTTAAAACCGTAACAAGAGAACAACGTGGCCTTTCGTTGACGACACGTGGGCCACCGGTGGCCCACGGCTTCTATCGCGTTTTGTTTGAACTCGTGAAAAACAAACGCAGTTGCTTGTATGTTGCTGACATCCAGAAAGATGAAAGAATGGAAATTAAGTCAAAGATAAAAGATAAATAGTAAAAGATGTGGAAATTGCATGCCATCTGGGTCGTTTGTCAATAAACACGGCCTCGAATGCCAGCCTTTTTGTTCAAAATGTACACAAATGATTTTCAACAATGTAAAAAACATTGTTCTGAACTACAATTTGCAGTGGCAATATTCTCAATGAGAATATATATTCTGGCGGACAAGTATGTGGTGGATGCGTTGCTGCATGTAACAGAACCGAAGGATTGTGTAACATCTATTGACTTGTTGTAAAGAATAAATTTTCTGTTAAAATGACAATCTATTTATTTTGAATCATAGAGTGGCTCGAAGAGAGCACATTCTAGTTTGATTTGGTAGTCTGTGTTTGGCCGAAATCTTGACCTTTGTGAAGGATAGGATGTTGCGAACTAGATCTGGTTGTCGTATTTTTAATTCACTACATCACATACCCAAGATCCTGCCATTACCAAAAACAACACAAACTGAGTACTTCAATGCTCAAAACAACACGACAAAATTACGTAACAAAAGCTTAGTTCTCGCAGGTACCTTTTGATTCAACTGGATTGGCGGCTGGAAGGTGACCGCTCGCACACTCGACGATTCTGCGTCTCTCTCGCGAGCGTGCTCTCTCTCATCTCCTAGGCATCGAAGCCTCGCCCAGCCGCCAGTCAGTTAAAACAAAGGTAAATAATGTTGTATAATTCCACTACAAGATCAATGCTACCCATAATTCCTCAAAAAGTTTGCACAGGTTCATTATTTTGCTGCATTTACAAATATAGCATTGCGCTTCCCAAAGCGATGCAGTAGCTGCACGAAGACTTTTCTGGAACATTTATACTCCTCTTACTGTGACCGGTTTTTAAAGTATAAGGCACACCTATATTCTGTGTTCCTCCACCAATACACAACAAAATTTGACGATACATTCAGAGCCATGAGCACTCCGAGGAAGTGATAGATCAAATCCATGTAGCTGTTCAACGCGAGGAAAATCTAAAAACGCCGCTCTTTGCGTTCAAAGTGGGCCTATTCTTGACTTCTTACTTGACTGGAGAGTAAGGTGACAAAAGTTGCAAGTTGCGTTAATATGTATAAGACCATGATTACTGACAGAGAAATGAGCATCCGACGTTTAGCTTCCAGATTAAGGGTGTTTGCTAAATATCAAAATTTTTAAGCCATGCAAATGTGGCTCGCTCGTTTTGTTTTGTTGTAACATATTGAGTATAGCGGTCAGCTATTAAGATAACGCCAGGAAACACTTTAGAAAACTGTCTGTAAAGAGCCTTTTACCTGTTGGTTGGAGGTGCTTTAGAAAGCTGCGAAATTTGAAATTAGCAATTCCATAGATTATAACGACGAGGAAAGAAACGCCGAAGGTGCAGTCAAAGTATATAGCACGCGTTTTGATGTTGTATGCGAATGGAGTTATGCAGAATGGAATTGGATCACCTATAACTTGAGGTTCGCCTTGCGAATAGAGATAACTTATCGTTTCAACTTAGGGTTTGAACTGTGTAAGTTTGCTATATTGTAGCAAAGACAAGGTATTATAGTGGTCAAGAATACAGTGCACGTTGAAGGCAGTGTCCCAGCAGATTTGCGCCTCGGGGGACATTGCTAGGGTGGGATTCCTGGTCATCCCACTGACCTCAAGACGCAGTCCGGCCAGGGCCCGGCACAGATCGTCTGGAAGCAGGCTGGACTTCGTTTTTGAAGCAAACAGCAAAGGGGATATCGTTTTTGACGAGTTGGAACCGAGCACCAAGAATAAGCGCCATTTAGTCGAACACAAGTTTTTCGGACAGGTTATCACACGATTAACATGCTCTACCGTGCATGGCGAAAAGTGCGCGCGATTTGAAAGCAAGGCTTGAATAAACAAATTGCTTGTTTACAGCGCACACAGAAGCATATGACACCAAAATTGAACTGTATGTATAGAAAATTATTTGCGAAAGTATTATGGAAAAAGATTTGAAAACTTATGTGAAGTAATACCTTTTTCAAAATTAGATCGTTTCCAAACGGTCACCAGACGATCTGAGATCGTCTGGAGCATATATTTTCGTCACTTTACATAAGTTTCGGATCTTTTTAGCATGGACGGATTTCCCGGTCGAAAATCTATCCTTGAGCATGAAGACATTTTCATATCATTGCCTTTCCATTGTTTTTTGCCTTCATTTCTTCTCGCTTTGTTAAATATCGCGCTCTAATGCCAAAGTCTTGTGCATGCGTAGTATTTGGCTCCAATTTGGATCTTCACTCTTATCTTACGTCTTTTCTTTCAGACTAGTAAATCTTTCTTGTCATCTTTTCTAAGCAGGTAGGTCAAAGGGAACTTCGTAAAACTTCCGAAAGTTAGGGGAGACTTCGTTTTCAGAAACCCTAGAAACCGACTTGTGTCGGGCCCTGAGTCCGACTGACTGATTTTCCCCTGGGCCGAGAAAATAGCCCTTGAACCGGCGCGCGCAACCCCAATCGGCGCGAGCTTGGACGACTTCGCTTACCGTTCGGCGTGGGATCCCACGAACGCTCTCCCGCATTTTGCATGCTATCCAAAGCGAAAATTACAGGCAGCAGGACCTTCGTGCCAGGGCCTCCCAATTTTCCATTGAAAATCTCGTCCGAACTGTTTTTTGAAAATTGGGTAAACACCTCGAAACAGGTCTTTTCATCCGTTTCAAAGCTCACATTAGGGGCTCTTGGGTCGAAAAGGCCCAAAATATGCAAAAATATGGAAATGCAAAATCTACCGGGACACTGCCTTCAAGGAAGTAGATTTCGTTATGATGAGGATTATGTAAGCAAAACTTCTTGGTTTGTCACTCTCCTATTCCGCCTGTAAAACCGATAAACGTGAGTATAGCGGAGTATGCAGCCACTGCCAACATCATCACAGCATAAGGGAGCCTGCTGAGGTTGAAATATCTGCAAAAAAAGGAAAAATAGTAAATCATAGCAGAAAAGTTGTCGCTGCATGCGAGAAATGCAGGGAGATTGAGGAAGAACTTTAGTTGAGGACTCAAATTCGCAGTAAAATCAACCATTCTTACTCCTGTCGGCATTCACTCACGATCAGTCAACTTTCATATTCCTGTCGTTCCAAGGCCTTCTCTGTCCCTGATTGCGAGTACAAAGAGTTGAGAATCCGCGAAAACCTCGACAATTGCCGTTCCGGAGAACCCGCAGGTCGGTTTGGAGTCCTCATACCTCTTCGCTAATCCGAAGCGATTTTTTCGCGAAGAGACACTTTGAACCACCACTTAAGCACCGGCTTGATAGGAGGTCTCACTATCGTAAGCTGCCAAAAGTTCAAGTTCCTTAACTTAGGCGTGGACGGCAAAAAGCTTTTCCATGACGAAGGCGGCCGGTTTAGTACGCGAAGCGCTGCGATCTGCGTGTTTGAGCATCTTTCATCACTGGAGCTCGTACGCCCGCGCACGGCTTGCGTACATGGGCGACCGCCTTCGTCTTGGAGTAATTTTCAGAGGAATTCGAAACTTTCTTTTAAAATTCGAACATCGAATGGAAAATCGAATTTCGATTTGATCAATACCTACTCAGACAATCGCTGGGGGCAGGCGGGCACCGGAAAAATAGATTGCTGATTTCTCGCACCCCCGCTCGCGGATTTTTTGCAAAGCAATCAGGACTTTTCGGAAGACCGCTTGCTGAGTCAGCGGATTTTTGAGAGACCGCCTGTTGAATTTTTTTCGCTCTTATTTTTTGCAGATATATTGCTGAATCTCTGAGGAATCGAGAAATCAGCAAGCGGTCTTCCGAAAAGTCCTGATTGCTTTCCAAATAATCCGCGAGCGGGGTGCGAGAGATCAGCAATCTATTTTTCCGGTGCCCGCCTGCCCCCGGCGATTATCTGAGTAGATGATGATATCGTAACATCCGTAACTCGGTCAACTCACAAACTTTGCACAGGAAAGAGCTCATAACTCGCTTCAGAGTAATGCTTTCCGACTATGGATAGCAGATTTGATCAGCGTTTAGAGTTGATTCCAGTGACTTCTTCTGTTAGATGTTTTGGTCTCTCAAAGGCTATCTCAATACCGAATAATATTTGAAGTTCGAATAACGAATGATATTTGATATTGGAATATTATTCGAAAGTCGAATATTCGAAAGTTTCCACTTTCGAGAATATTTGATAGTCGAATGTATGCGAGCTTTGGTTATGATGGCCCAGCACATGCTTCACAAGATATTCGACGCGATTTGCCGGTACCTAATGTTTTCAAATATAACCCAGTTACCACAAATGTAAAGCGTGTATAACTTTCTAAGTAGCAATGCCCTGCTTTCTGTATTTTTAGAATGTGCCTACGATAAGTTATGAACAGTTTGATTACTGCCAAACCACGTTGCTACCGAAATTACACAAAGTATGCTCGGGCTTTAGGTTTCGTGCTCGCTTCGCTGAATAATCTACAGCCCCCCCCCCCCCCAACTAGCTTTTACTATGCATGTCGAAAGTCGTTTTGCTGATGTACAGACTAATTGCCAAACAACCAACTTTACGGAATTTGGGAAAACGTTGGACTACTGGGCTGGGATTTGGTATAGGGAGGGGAGGGGTGAGGTGCTGATCATAATTGAGGAACACTTTATCGATTTCAGCGGTTTTTAAAAAACTTTGAGCTACTGGGCTGGGACTGGTACCATGGAGTAAATGAGGCGCTGAATGCATGAACCTGTTTTAGCCGGGTATGTCAGCTTTAGATATGATTGCTTTAGTATTTGATAAATAATTCGAAAACTTATTCGGAATTCGACTCTCAATGTTTGAATTAAAACGATATTCATTCATTCGATATTTTCAATTTACGATTTTATTCGGGATTCATTCATTCGGAAATTTTTGAATCCCGTGTTTATCCGATATTCGTTTACGAGCATTTCATTTTTGAATCTAATCGATATTCTTTCATTCGGTGAAAAATTTCGAATCCCAGGTATACCGGACACCGCCTTTAAAAAAGTTAGGAAATTTCATAAAAATCTATGAACTTATAGCACTACACAATCTGTATAATTACACGCTCATTGCACATATAGCACAACTTCGTAATCAGTTATGCCACAGAAATTTTTCTTTCGAATCCCTTATAGTTTACTAGCTGGCTTGCCCGGCTCCGCCGGGCCTGCCAGCTAGACCCGTGTACGTATGTTCCAAATAGAAAATTCCATTTCTGAACCGATCCGGACCAAACTTTGCACACATACACTTCGGGCCCCGGCGGGTGTCACAGTCCACTTTTCGTTATCGATCGATGTCGATTATACCGATTTTTATCGATCTTTTTTGCAGAGTTCACCTACAGGGCTAGGAGTTGGCACAGGGGGGAAGTGAGCATGGGGATTCCGAACACAATATTAGTTTTCAGGATCGTCCATTACTTTTATCGATTTTATCGATTTTTTTTGTAAAGTTTGACCTGCGGGGCTGGGAGTTTGCACAGGGGAGTAATCGAGCATGCAGATTACGAATACAATATTAGTTTTCAAGATCGTCCATTACTTTTATCGATTTTATCGATTTTTTGAAAATTTGAGCTAGGGGGCTGGAATTTGGCACAGGGGTGTAATCGAGCATGCTGATCACCCCCCTTGGGGATGATCAGCATGCTCGATTACCCCCCTGCGCCAACTCCCAGCCCCCTAGCTCAAACTTTGCAAAAAAATCGATAAAATCGATAAAAGTAACCGATAATCCCGAAAACCAATATTGTATTCGGAATCCCCATGCTCGACTACCCCCCTGTGCGAACTCTCAGCCCCGTAGCTCAAACTTTGCAAAAAAATCGATAAAATCGATAAAAGTAATCGATAATCCTGAAAACCAATATTGTATTCGGAATCCCCATGCTCGATTACCCCCCTGTGCCAACTCCCACCCCCGTAGCTCAAACTTTGCAAAAAAATCGATAAAATCGATAAAAGTAATCGATAATCCTGAAAACCAATATTGTATTCGGAATCCCCATGCTCGATTACCCCCCTGTGCCAACTCCCAGCCCCGTAGGTGAACTCAGCAAAAAAATCGATAAAAATCGATAAAATCGATATCGATCGATGACGAAAAGTAGCCTATGACACTCGCCGGGGCCCAAAGTGTATGTGTGCCAAGTTTGGTCCCGATCGGTTCAGAAATGGAATTTTCTATTCGGAACATACGTACATACAGACATACAGACAGACATACAGACAGACATACAGACATACAAACAGACATTCAGCTTTATATATAAGATTTATACTCTCGCAACGAAAAAAACACTTTTGAAAATCACCGGGTAATGCTGGCCATAGCTTGTGGCCGGCAAAATCTTAACTAAACTTCTCATAAAAACTCAGAACTTTAGAGAAAATTTTCCAGCAAATGAAGAAATGCAGATTTAATTTAGTTCTGAACAGTTATGGTTTGGTAGCTCAGGGCCTGGCACCAGCTGGTACGGGGCAAGCTGGATATCGTTTTTGGGACAAAAAGCAAAGGGGATATCGTTTTTGTCGAGAAATTGCGACGTTTTTTCAGTCGCGTTTCGTTTTTTGGGTTTTTTTACGTTTAGGGTTTAGGATCAAGGGGGACTTCGTAAAACTTAGCGAAAATCAAGGGGGACTTCGTTTTGAAAATTCCCTGGTGCCAGCTCGTGCCGAGCCCTGTAGTAGCTTTCGTTAAAGACAGCAAATGAGGCAAAATTAGAATTCAGAATTCCAGAAAGCCAACAAAGCACACACCACACACATACACACGCAACACGCACAACATACACAGTACACACACGACATATACGCAACACACACAACACAACACACACAGTTCTTA